GGCATGGCAATGAAGCTGGTGGCTCACCTTATGGTAAATAACAATCAAACCAAATAAATACTGTAATTTGACTACACCTCAATCGAAACATATTTTATGAAGCTAACTGCTTAGGGACTGAAATACCTGATAGAGGTAAAGAATGAATGAATCACACAAACTGATGATTTTGTACAAATTCTATGTAGTTAATTTAATTTTAATAACTGTCAGCCGTACAATACTATAATGGGCGAAGTATACTGCATTATTGATACTATTACTCTTTTATGCGTACAGTTAATTAAACATATTTCTTTGTCTTCTGTCATATTTACAACTATTTGCTCATGTAATAAATACTTTTACATACTGGTGATAATGACATTAAGGTGAATAATATGTAAAATATTTTCACGTCTGAGAATAGGTATATGCATATTTGCTTATGTAGGTACAGTTATGTTCAGTAATTAAAGATGTTTGTGTTTCATTATTAGATATAAAATTACTGCATATATTATAATTATATAATCATAGAAAATGAATGACTATATTTTTTAATACTTTGTCTATATGAAATATATATTTTTATTAAAAATAATAATATCTCTTTTAGTTTTCAGATTTGTTTGGAGATGATTTTCATATTTGGAATAAACAATGCACAAAAAACCTTAAGATAGAACTGTGAAACTTAGAAATCGAACATCTGAGATCTATGCTCAATATAGGATACAAGTTGCACGTTAACCTAATTATAATGCACAGAAATAGAACAGCGAGTCATGTGTGTCGTTTAGGAAAAGAGGGTGCATTACTTCCTTAATGCGACAAGTTGCTTTCCCAGCATTTTTAAATCAAAATTATAATTATCTGAGTTATTACAATAAGAGATGAGTTAGTGAGAACGATATTGGTTATAGTTTAAAATCAATATATCTTGATTCATGTAGGTCTATTTCAGACTCGACTAGGAAGGACTGACTAGAAACTCAGCTCTTATTCTTATTATATAATATTTATTTCGTTTACAAGAATACAGATTCATTTCTAAATTCAAATTTGGAAGAAAAGAGTTTTTATTAATATAAGCAATATTAATAAAAATCATAAAGCTTAATAATAATAAACATATTTATTTGTATCAAACAATGAATTGTAACGATTTCTCCTTATAATAAATTTAAAAGTTATTAATCGAGAAACTACGCTCTCTCAATTAAGGGAGCGTCATGTCCTAGTTAGTAAAATAATATGTAGGTATAAGCACCAAAAAATATGTTAAATTAAGAATCAATAATTGGTATTTAAGTAAGGACCTTAGTGATTTAGCTATTTAGCACACGCCTGCCTCATTTCAGATGGTTGCGGGTTAGATTCCTCGTAGGGTACAAACATTTGCAAGATTATATACGTAATTACAAAAATGATTTTAGTTATGAAAATACCAGCTGCGTAGGACCCAAAGTGCTACTCTGTTTGGGATTAGACGGAACTGTTTAAATTGTCCTGTGTTATTATTATTAAATACAAGTACCTACAAGGTTCAGGAAACAGTCATTGACAATAATAAAATAGAAATTAATGCCAGCAGCAATTTGAATTTTAAATGTTTCTACCCCTAATGTACCCAACCGGAATCATGGGCGCATAGTGCACGCGGCACATGGCTGACATGGCAGTTGAATGTATACCAACCTTAAATCCTGCAGACTTCCGTTTATATAAATTGCACACAAATAAATTAATTTATATTATTATAAAATTTATTTATTTATATAAATTAACATTTACATTTGTATATAGATTTACATTTACATATTTACTAGAATACAATTTTTTATATATTTCTATTATCTGTATTCTCCAAACTAGGTCAGGCCTGTATCTTGGGGGCCTTATTATATTATGAGTAAGTAGGTACTAAAGCAGATAGACCAGATAATAACTGATCATCAATTTGGTGATAGAGTTTATATAAAGTCGTCCGCAATGGTGCCTATGTCTCACCGACCTATTCGTATATCGCCTAAAATCAACCAAGGGCATAGGCAGTGAAATTACAGGACACGGAAGCAGTTTAGTCCTAGTTTATACACTTACATAGTTCCTATTTTTCGGGATCACTAACAAGAAAAGATACCTCTAAGATTGAAGACTGACAGACAGAGACAGGCAGAATTGAAGACTGTTTATTTGTTGCCAGTGTTTATATAAATAAAATATAATCGTTCGAAATTTCTATCAGGCCCATGCACAGCAGTAGATTCTGTATAACGGACATTTAGGCTCGAATATTTATTTATTTATAAACTCTTTATTGGACCAATAGAATTAATACATAATAATTATACAGAAAAGAGATATGGAGATGAAATATATAGATACTATGGTTTAATAATAGTAGAGCGCAATTAGTATTTGGTTTGTTTAAAACCTGATTATAACATTCTATAAAATCGAAACACTCAAAAACAGTCATACGTCATTCCACCGGTAATATTCAAATAAGAAGTTATCACAGTAAATAGATATAGTATTTACATATCACAGAGATAAAATAATAAAGTATCTGATAATATATCAAAGTCAATTGTATAAATCTAAACAACAACTTATAGATTTAATCTGTGTACTTGAAAAAATCATACATTAACTCTCCGTATCCGTGTACTAAATTGGATTTGTTTCACCATCACTATTTCAGTCCGAAGACTGCTGAACAAAGGCCTCCCCTAAAGATCTTTACAACAATCGGTCCTGCGCTGCTCGCAGATTTGTTTAATTCTGGCTAATATTATAATTGGACCAATGAGTATGTTTCTTACATTTTATGTCTAAAATAATAAATAAAATCAATATCCTACATTTACCTAACAATATACATATCTAGGAGTAATATCTGTAGGTAAAGTACCGACTCAAATAGGCATATCAAGCAGGATGTTATACGATAATAGTCAATTTATAAGGAACTATAACTTACCCACTATAGAAAAAAATACTAGATATTTCTAAATCCACACCCAACTCAATATTTCATTTTAAATCGATAACAAATAAAAAGTGAATACCAAAACATTTCATATAACCCTTTTGCTCTTTTAAAAGAGGGTTAAATTTATGATATTCGCCTTCTATGATTGTAAAGGCTTACAACTCCGCCCACTTCAAAGGGCAATACTTCAATAATATCTAGCAGTTTTTTCTATCGACTCCAATTTTAATTGACAGCACGTGTACCGTTTCCGTTCCGACACGTGTCCTATTCTAAATTATTAAAACATTCTTCCCGATCTTGGTGTACTGATGACATGATAGGCAACATGAGTGAGGTATAAACAAATGTGCAGGAACTTATTTTGAAAATGAAGGTAATTTTCTATTAAAGGCAGATTGGTACTACCTACTAACATAATGAACGCGTCCCCATTCTTTTGTATCGCTGCATAATTTATGTGAATAATGACCTGAATAAAATTAATTATACTGCACTCGTGTCAAAGTAGAACAACTGATTGGGTATCATATGATTTCTAATTATACAACATATTGTGCTATTTATCAGGAAGTATCAATTTAGTTACGCAATAACTGTTTTTACTTGTCATCTAAAAGTAAGTATTGCGAAGTATAAATAGAAATTATTTTTATGGAATTGGAATAGCAAAGAAACCTGTACACATAAACAACTCAACAGATATCAGGGCATCCTATGACGCTAGTTATACTACTCAAGCGTTAGCGTTCCGATATACTGAATACTAAGGTATCACGCCTTCATACTCTATAATTGCAATGCCATATCTATCTAAGCTAACCTAATCTCACCCTATAATAGAAACATAGATTACAAAGTTAGCTGCGTGGTCGCTAAAAAGTTAAGACTGAGGTACTAACGCCGTCTGCGTTAGTACCTCAGTCTTAACTTTTTAGAAACTCTAACTCTTGTAGGTACATTTAAAGGTATTTCTACAATAAATCATTCATAAAACATTACCTTATGCATCACTCCATAAACACTTCAAGCTCTCCAAAAATAACTTCATCCACTCACCAGATGTTTTCCTTGTTTTTTCTCGCTACAAAAACATGTCGCGTACCAACGTGGGAAATTGGGATTTTGGAAAAAAATCTCGTCGCAGATGTTAGCGAATCGGTGCAACTTACTCACGTGTCACAACAGGAAGAGGTTTATAATTTCGTTGGACCAAGACTAGACGCGTGCCACTTGCTTTCTTAACGGACCGTGAAATAGACCTGTTTTTATTGACTAACGCCATTAATACTGGCCATTGTTCTACGTAATAGTTACATATGTCGCTTCACACTTTTGTTATTAATTAAGGGATGTTCATTATTAGATATGACTATTATACCAGACAGGGTAGTAAGTGTACTTGTATATACTTGACATTGCCTACATTTCGTAGAGTAGGTATATAATATTTGAATATACAATCCATACTATCAAGGAAGCCAGCGTACCATCTCTAGGTATTCATTTTTGGTTTTATATCGATATTTCCTTCATAAGAGTGTCAAAAATATAAATAACTATTCAAAGTTTTTCTTTTGGTGTCGGTCAGATTAGAACTTATGACCTCATGGGCGTATTTTAGAGTAGCAAACTACTAAGGCTGGTCATCATGATATGTTATATATCTTCAGATCTTATGTTAATAGTAATGAATTGGCTATATTTTAATAATAATAAAAACAGACACAAAATATTAAAGCTGTACGAATCCAGCTTCAATAATGTTTGTAAGCGTTACTCAGGTAACATTCAATATTGGATATCATGAATGGGATACCCTATATTTTTAATATATGTAGATTAAAAACTATGTAATTTATGTATTTATTTATCCAACATGTAAACATTATTGTAATCACTATACGTAGTGATGGCTAGAGTTTCTTTACATAGGCTTCAAGACAATAAACTATTGAAATGGAAGTAAAATAAAAGAATATAAATGTTTGTTATGTTTTATTATAAGTCATTGTATAATTTGATTCTCTTATATAATAGCTGTAAATAACAACGTATCCGAAACATTATGGATTTATTTATATCAATATCACAGTATAGTTTTCGAAATATTGCAAAATTGACTAAATACACAGTTCTTATTACATAACTAGTATCTATACAACAAATATTACAATTTTAAATAAAACACATTACGTTCTTTTATATTGTAATATTAGATATTTAAAATTTATTCTGATCTACCTACACTCTGTCAATTATCTTACGATTTTTCTTATATTTCTGATTATCAAGCCAACTGTACACTAGCCACTGTTTCTTTTATTTTAGTTATTGAAAAACATGTTTATTATTGTAAAAATAAGCTATCATTGTAGTACAAAATAAATCGGCCCATCTGTTATACACACTCAGAAGACCTACAATATCCTACTTATAAAACAACATGTGTACATATGGCGGACTGAATATAGAAAAGCATTCCTATTAAATACCAATATCAAACTTCTGTCTGTCCATAGATTTGATTTGTTTTGAGTACTCAATAATTATTCCTACAGATATCAAGATTAATATTACGCTTTATCCCTATGATATTACAATACAAAAAAAAATAGAAAAAGAAAAATGTTATTCTATTATTAATTTTATCGCCAACAAAGGTTAATGACGGAATATCTGATGTGCTTCTATCAATCATATATAATACTTCATTTTAGTTATCATAACAAATTATCTAGATTTTCAAATGACATAGGTAATGTGATAAGATTGAGATGAAATATACCTACTTACTTGTTGATAATCACCGTTCAAATATTTTGGGTAGGCACTAAATAAATGATGTTCCTAACATACGGTAAAATATTTTTACTGCACGAGTTCAACCGCTCAATGTGCGTACTAAATAATACGATTTATCTAATCTCTGTTTTACACACATTAGAAATTCTTAAATTTAGAAAACTGAAGTTTATATTTTCAGTATTACTTTATTTTTGGCATGTTTAATCAATATTATTTGACAATATAATTTACATAAGAATATGTTAGTAAAGTATTAATTTGTAAAAATATGAATAAAATAGAGAAAGCCAAAAAGGGACACAACTCATGGTTTTGAGAACATATGAGCTCGAAATTCTGAAAATTATAAACTAAAACTAATTATGTTATTCGATGCTTGAGTTAATAAAATTATTTACAACTACTGTACTTATTATTTGAAAACTGTCTTCCTAGTATATTTACAATTTAGTGACCACATAAATAATAACGTATCACACTTTTTTCACATTCATATTACGGACTTTGTATTTAAGTACACTGTTTTATTGTATATAAATGTTATTTATATTTATTAATTATCTCGTTATGTTACAAAAGAATCAAAACAATTGTTTGTATCAAAGCAGACAAGGTTATAATAATATTCTTCAGTATTTAGTGCGTTAATTACAAACACTTTGTACACACAAGCTTTCATAAAATATTATTGGACAAACAATTACATTGAATTCTATGCAATGTAAGTAGAATATAACTTATTAAACAGTCGTTTATTATTTTAACTTAAAATAGAAATTAACTTGATTCTAAACATGTCTAATGTCTTAGAAGTTTAATGATACTTGTTTTTTGTACCTTAAATAATTTTATAAGTAACACAGTCATTTCCTTTCCTATATTATTTTATAGTTCAATATTGTTACTTAAAAATTCTGACTAAAACATAGAAAAGACACAATACTATGAGTAAACTTACAAGAGATCTTACATCATCAACTTTTAGATAAGCTAACCTATATCGAACTTAGTTACACGAGTAATGGATTTTTCTTGAAATCATCTTTTACTTTTTCTGTTTTATTACCTCTAAAATACTCTTCGATTTGCAGAAGTGTTTTTCCCTTGGTTTCAGGTAAGCAAAAGAATAAGAATGTGGTCCCAATTAAGGTGGATACTCCATAAAATAAATATGTTCCGTGGTGTCCTATGCTATGGAACATTGCTGGTGCTGTTTTAATAGTCGCAAAGAAGGCAATTGAAGTCATCATAACACTTATACCAGACCCTAAACCTTTGGTTTCTGTAGCAAATACCTCGCCAACCATATTCCATGGTAATGGCGAGATACCTAAATTTGAAACAATTATGTAGAAAGCTATAAGACCTAAAGATATAAATGGAGACAAGTTACGTATGTGATTTGTACTTACTAGATACAAATATACAGCTAACGTTATCAATGACGTTGAAGTAAAAATTCCACTGAACAATGCCAAAGGTCTTCGTCCCAATTTTCTCAGCAAGACACAAGCAAAGCACAAAGATACACATCGTAAAACATCTATACTTAGCATAGCTATGTATGCAGTTGATTTATTATTATTCTCTCCAATTAGCTCCTTCATCATATCTGTAGTATATGCACATATAACGTTTACTCCAGACAGTTGTGTAGTTAGAAAGAATAATATCATAATTAACAATGGCTTCCAAAATTGAGGTTCTTTGATATTGGACTGTAATGATTCTAACTTTCCTTTTGTTTTGTCCTTCTTTGTCTGTTCATCAATCATTTTGTCTAATTCCATTCTCATTTCCAAACTGTTCCCTCTATACCATTGAAAAGATACTATGCATTCTTCAATTCGATTTTTTGAGGCCAACCATGCTGGCGACTCTGGCGCATAATATAGTATAATACCACCAATTAGAGGAAAAGATCCACACAGTATTGAAGCAGTAGACCAATGTAGCATTGTGCCAAAGAAATGCGACAAAAGTACACCAGTTGCGATAGCCAGCGACAACGCTGCTAAGAAAAATCCTCTATGAATAGGTGTACTTATTTCTCCCACAAATACGGGTCCAAGTGGCCCAAGCCAACCCTGACAAAGACCGGTAATAAATCTTCCCGCTAATATTATATATATAATCTCCCTAGACAGCCCGATTAAAACCCAACCTAATATAAAAAATATAGATAATATCAGTTGAGATTTTCTTCTTCCAAATCTTTCCATCAAGTATCCTGAGAGTAGGTTTCCAAATACTAGTGCGAATGATGATATTGAAGCTGAAAAAGAAAAAAACATATTAACTTTCTGTATAACAAAAATGAAAGAATAATTTAGATAATAGTGACAACTAAATAATAGAAAAGTAATATAAAAATAATAGCAATTACCCGGATTATACTATTTTATATTAGCACATTCAAGTAATTATATATACGTTAGTATAAGAACTACCCAATTGTTCAATTGTTATACTGCATATACATGTATCCACACTGTATCGAACTATTGAGTAAATTATCCTGTTCGGTATTCAACATAACAAGTACAAATATTTTCCATCACACAAAAAAAATTGTATTAATAGACCAATAACGGTCTAAATTTAATTAATGGCAAAATTAGAAATCAGAATAGTATTAAACAAATGTTAAATGTAATATAAAAAGGCCGCATAAATATTGATTTACTTACCTAGCCATGATATCATCTCTATTGAATATTTTCTACCTCCACTTGAATTCTGCAGTTGCGGGATGAGAATCGCGGAGAATCCCGCAGTGGCGCCTGCGCCCAAGGTCATCATGAACGTGCCCATACATACTAAAGTCTAGAAAAAATTACATATATTCAATACACATCATACAATTACATATAATCAATAATTTAGATAGAAATACATAATATACTATTACAATAATAGTACTGTTCGATGGAAAACTTATTTCTTGTATTCATAGATTTGAAAGTAAAGTTTTAAAGTCTTTTACAATTTTAAGTTAGTAATTTTTATTTATGGATGAACATGGAATAGTATCTGCGCACAATAAAATGAACGTGCCTTCACTTCATTCATTCATTCATTTAGGAATTAACGACGGTTTTCAAACTTGAACCATGAGGAAGGCAAATATTGCTAACAATAAGCATTAGTACCCATACTGACAATCCCCTTCCTCTGGTAAATAAAGTTAGTAGTTAAATTATTCGCTAAAAACTAAAAAATTCCGAATTTTATGGCACTGATATGGTACATTAGAAGAGCTCTACAATTGTTTGCTTGAGCAATATAAATGTTGACACTATCCAATCTAATTTCAATAATTATTTTTAGATAAGTGAATTTATAATACTGTATTTTGTTAGTCAAACGTGGAGCTTAGTACTAGATTTATGTTTCATGAAACCGGTATAGAGTACAAAACATACGTAGTTCGTAAGTCCTATATTCGTCACAATATTATTATGATATCGCGTGAGTGGAAAGAAACCATACTTATTAAAATAAGACAAAAAAAAGACCAAGATATCGTATAACATATGAGTAGATATACCTTTATTAATAAAATGGGTAGAATTGAGACATAAGTTTTTTTAGAATTCTGTTGAAAAATTAATAAATATTTTTCGTAAAATGTTCAACATGTCGTATTTTCGACACGTAAACATCCTACACAAACTTAGACCTGAACAATGCCACCGAATTCGTTGATATTACAAAATTAAGATACAAGAAATATTTACCACTGACTCTAATGAATAAGATTACGTAGTTTAATTTTACCTTCCCAACTGTTATCAAATGTATCCTCAATTTTCATTTAACGATAGAAATATGACCTAACTTGGTAGCTTGGCAACATTTTAGATTAACTTGAGTTACCTCTATCTCTAAATATTTTTGACATATAAGTATAATTATTTATTTTATTTTAATATTTAGCATTTGGTATAATAATAATAGTAATACTTAATGTCTACAGCCAATTTCATCATAATATTACATTAAGTATCACTGTATATTAAAATACATAAACACACACTTATAGATAAACACTGTTGTACAGTGGTTCCCAACCAGTAGTCCACAAGAGCTAAAATATGGAACTCAAGAGATTGAAAATTCGTAACTATTTATTTAAATAATATTGTTTATTAAAACTCACAACAAAAAGAGCATTTTGGAGAGCAGTTGGCATGCTTAATCCCTGATGGCATTTTATACTAGTCAACCATCAAGTAATATTAGTTTTAAATTTAAATTACATGTTTTAATAGAAATTAATATTCAACGCGGTTACATGAAGAACGCTACGAACGTCACAGCATTATTATATTTATAAATCGGTAAGTAAATGGTGCAGTTTATTTCTGATGTTTGTTTAAAGTTTATATATAAAATATTGATGTAATCTGATTTTCTTTATCCTCGTGATTCTTACTAACAATAATTAAATGAAATTGGTATTTGATGATCAAAAGGATGAGGACCACTAAATTATATAGTAATGAACTAATTATATAATACATATATTTATAAAAATGTTTACTCTTATAATATAATAAATTGTTTTTAAATGTTAGGCAAAACTCTCCCGTGCGAAGATTTCTATCAACATACACATTTTCTAAATGTGGAATCAAAAAAACGCTTTAAATATGTGAAATGTTGTATTCACTATAATATTATGCTTCTGACTCATAGGTGTTACAAGCTAGAGCATATTTTCATTAATTCTATATAGTTTTTATAAAAGTGACTTATTAATATATTGAACGAATCGTAAAACAAAGTCACATCAGTAAAATTTAAAACTGTATTACGAAATAGCACCTTCACTTTAATTAATTAATATCTTATCAAATAAATTGTACACGGCCAATAATAGCCACTCTGATTATTGACATCGCATTTATTTTTATACCGTTCCATTTTTTTAATAACGTTTTTAGAGTGCCTGCATGAACATAAATACCCATCATATATAAAAGATCAGTTACAAAAACCTGATATTTTATATATGACGCGTAGTATTCTCCTTATGAGAAACAAATTTTACAATTATAAAAGGGTTCCTTGATGTAAGGTCCAAATATCTACTACTAGACATTTCAAATTTTGAGTGATACACTCCTTTAAGCAAGTAATTACTAAGAACAATTTCTGAAAAATTCAACGTGACAATATAGCAAACGATAAATTAATACGTTTTTTAAAATATGACTGTCAACATTGTAAATTACAATCTTAATTAAGAATACATAAATGCGGGACTTTTTAGAATCTAAGAGTCTTTTGCAATTATCCCAACAACTTTTGAAACAATTATTTATGCCTAAAAAACAGAATCTTCTGCAAGTCCTATTCACACTTGACCAATTATATTTATTAATAGATGTAAATGTACCTCTGAATATTTTTATCGTTCATTCAACAAATTAAATACATGTTTACAATAAGATTAAGTAAAAATATACCTACGTAAACTGCTTGTGGTCACTCCCCCAGATAGTCGGCCATTATCAGGGTCGCGAGAGGTTATTGGAATTTTTACATGTTGGTCTTCTATTATTTTTGTAATACTTGCATCAGAATAAAGATTACTCATTATTTTTCATGGAATTGAACTCTGTCGAGTTTAAAATTTAGACAATATTTAAATGTCTAAATTTTACACCGAGTTGAGTTATCAATAACAAGTGCGAAAATAATTCGTGCTTAAATTATCCCTAATGTTTTCTTATAATTAACACTACTTTATTTTTTTTTAATTTACTTTAAAAATGGCGCGAATTGATGTAATTTTAAATAATTTAATTAAATGTTCAGTAATAATTATCAAGGATGATTGTGATAAATTCAATATCTAATACGATAAATCGCCACTTCAGTGATATACCTACAATACAATCAACCCTGTCTTCTGCATTCTTGTTACTGAAATGAAGGTGATCTATAGGATCTTCACACTAAAAAGAGACAACTGCACTGGTAGCCAACATTTTTGCTGTGGTGTATGGTGTTGTCGGATAGAAAGTTGAGACTTAGTGGACTGATGGATACTGTCAGATTCCTACTGGTTAAACACTTATTCAAATGACTGACGCAATAACTTTTCGTTTATGTATGTATAATAGTAATTATGAATAAATACGTTGTTTATTCATAATTACTATGTATAATAGTAATTGTGAATAAATACGTTGTTCTGAAAATATGTATAAAATGAAATTATTAATGTAAGCTGTAAATTGAAACTAAATTACAGTAAACAAGAGAACAGTTCCAAAATAAAAATGTGGTTGTGGCTTACATCCGACAATACAGCGAATATAAAGAAGATCGACGATCTGTAACATTTTACACACTTTTGTAAGTACAATTAGTTACTCATAACCAGTTATATGTAGATTTTTTTTATTTAGTTACACATAGGGTTACTATTATTGTGTTTATTTTTAAATATTTCAGTGTTTAAATTTAGAATAACGATTGGCGATTATCAAAATAATAATCGCCAATCGTTCGATATAATATTCGTAGGCATACATTATTTTTGTTGAAATTAATGTACGGAGGAGCAAGAGAACCAGAAGCATGTGTACGTCATAACAAAACAAAATAATCGTAGTTCAATTTGTAGTTGATGGTTACGTACGTAATATAAATTCAAAAATCAAATAAATATTTAAAGTATCTACTTTATGGTCTAATCTGGGAAAATTCTATTCATAAAGAAGATTTCATAGGGGTGAAACCTCAATAACATTCTAAAATATTTACTAAAAATAATTGTTTCTGATTACCAAAGTTATTTAGGTTTATTAACCACTATTATAGTATTATTATAAATGTGTTTTTTACATATAGTATTAGTTTATATCTAATACTAATACTATATGTAGGTACATGTTCTCTTACGTACGTTACGTGTTTTAATTCAGTTTAGCACAAAAAACATAGTAATTATACTTTAATAATTTAGGTACACTTATAAGATATTTATATCCTAATTCACAGTTTCAAATTAATCGTTATTTCAAGTATAAATCCCGCTCATCTAATCTACATTACATTACTTTAAATATAATTTAAATAAAATGAGACGCAAAATAAATACAAACTGGACATCAATTCAATATAAAACTTCCTTAATTATTGAATTAACATATGTTTAAACGTACTCGTACCTATAAAACGATTTCGAGGACGACAACTAGAGCGTCACAAATCGAAATTGCGTGTAAATTGTTACATAATATTTACTCATATAATAATTGTTAGGTTACAGGTAATGTTATCTAAGAACAGGATCATGAGGTCTTTTTGAAAATACTTGATACTTTGGAAAAACTTTTCCTTTAAATAATATTATTAACTATATAGAAGTAATTCGACTGGAAAGTAATGGACTTAAACATCGACGTTAAGGCTAAATTGTTCAATGGAGTGAACTGAAATTTAGTTACACAAAATTATCTTTTAATGATCTAGAAAGGATAATCTTGAAAGTTATTTTATATTAGTGCACCACCAACAATCTTTCTCTGCACCACTCATTATTGACTGGTAGATAACGCCGCAAAGCGTAAAGATCACCATATTATTATGCACATTTAACTTTTGTGCTTTGAAGTCAAATAAATAAATAACACAAAACACCATATAACTACATAAATATATAACGAAATAAAAAAATAATATAAAGATGGTCCAAACGCATGAAAAATCAGTAGTTACCTACTTTAGTGACAAATAAATTAAATGTATTATCTCATTTACCATGACAGTGTCCTCTAAATTATGACTCTTGACTGTACCGTAAAATTAAGATAAAAACAATAACATTCAGAGAAACTACAGAACCATTGCACTGATTACAAAAAATCCTTTCACTGTTTTGAAGGTATATTACTCCAGATTGACTTGAATTATGAACAACACAGCTAAGATAGGTCAAGCCCCTAGGTATATTATTATAGAATATATTTTATTTTTGAACTTATATTTTACTTTAAACATTAAAACTTACTTTACGAGTAACCCAAAATTTTATTCGGTCACGTCTTGTAAATTCTCAAGTCGTGAAAAATAAAAAAACTTGTAAACAACACATGCACAAAAAAGTATATACGCACACACCTGTCTCCGTAGCGGCGCTTGAGTTTCATTCTCGGAACAGAAATTCTCTTTCGACTCCCATGTATTGTACACCGTTTCGCTTTTATTAATTTTTTCCAACTCTGAAACTGGCGCGTGGTCCATGTTGACTGGTCTGTACCATACTACACTATTCGTCTCATTGCTTTTACGAACTCAAACGTAAGATTGTATTATATCTTATCTAAGTTCGTCCACAAACTAGCCGATATGAAAGCGACTTATCGACAATCGAGTACACGTAATAGCGCCTCCTTTATAATAGAACTGAAGATCTTTACTTTTTTCTGTTATATCTAGGCTTAAATCGCGTAATTTATGACTGTAAATAATGATGAACTGGTTTGTCAACTATACATACAAACATATGACAGTGTTGTGTCATATATATCTACAGTTGCCGCTGTATAATAATTTTATACTACTTGTATACTAATAATATAAGTGCGAAAATGTATCTGTCTATTAGATAGTTTTATACGACACCACGGTTGAACGGATCTTAATGAAATTTTGGCCTAGATATGGATTGTATCTTGTGAACACAATCGAGATTAATATCTATCATTATATAAGTTTAAAATATATAACTAATTACTGAACGGATTGTGATGAAACTTAAATATTTAGTAAGAGTGATGCAGGCTAAGTTGTTAGCTTGTTTATAATATTAGAATGAATGTTAACAAGGTTTACTATTACTATAATACCTACCTACTAGAATAATGCAAGAAAACAAAAAGAAACAAATTAAATTAAAAACAGAATTAATAACATCTTACAAAGCAAACTGCTTAGCGGCTGAAATAGGTGAAACTTAAGCCCATGCAGATGACTTTTTACAGTTTACTTCTGGTAGATATCTTTTAATATATACGAGTATGCCTACACTAAAAAACAAATAATCGCATTGATAAAATCTCCTGCAAACAACTAATTATATAATATATATTGGACTATATACCAAATATATATCATCATCATTACATAGTATAAAACAAAGTCGCTGTCCCTGTCTGTCCCTATGTATGCTTCAATCTTTAAAACTACGCAACGGATTTTGAAGCGGTTTTTTTATAATAGATAGAGTTATTCTAGAGGAAGGTTTATATATATACACATACACATGTACACCCTTACGAAGCCAGGGCGACTAGCTAGTAATATTATAATCTGGATAGATGGATGTTAGTTAGATACTCTTTCAAGCAAAAACAACTCTCACAATTTTGATGAAACTTCACAGTAATATAGTTTACACATCAGAATAACATATAGGCAATAAATGCCAAGCCGGTGAAACCGCAAGCACAGCTAGTAATTGATAAATTAATAATTACTAACTAATTATTACAAATATTGTATTCACATTAGAGGAACTTAAAAATATAAAGCTATATAGAATATATTATATTATTATATATATATATATATATATATATATATATATATATATATATATTTATATATATATATATTTTAATATATTTTGTAATAGTCACATTCAACTTTGTCTATAAGTTTATCTGTATCTGAATAAACATTTTTTCTATTTTAATAACGCCTGCAGAATTTTATGCAGCAAACACGCATGTGAATTTCATTTGCTAACAACAAATCATTCCGATGATAATTTATTCTGTCTATCGCATAAATACACACCATGGATGATATCCAGAGATAGATCCACTCTTAAATTCCGTTCTAAGTTACAAGTTTAACATTTGTATTTCACTGTGTTTATTGTTTTGTGGTTTACACCATAAACATCGCAGAATTTAGAAGGACTTATTTAGGTAACGTATTTGGTTTCCGAGATGCGTTTCTATTATTAAAGTTTACCTTGAAACTATATTTTAAATTTTTATTAACAGTAATTTTGCACCAATTTTATTTTTTTACACTTACTGTTTACAAACGCCTACTAAGTCTGTAAACATACAATACACCCAAACCACTACAAACAAACACATCCATGAATACAAATATTTACATGGAATCGAACCGGCGACCATCGGAAATAAAGCGGTGTGTTAAACCATTAGATCAGTGAGGTCATCAATTAGCACAGCATACAGCAAGGCCTCAACTAAATAATGTTGTTTAGATGCGAAGGTTTCTGATTTCACTTTAAGACACAACTCATTTTATATTTGTAATAATTGATGATTTCAAATTAGTTCGAAACGAAACCCTTAAGTCGATATGTAAACAGAAAATGTATTGTGTAATTAATAACTACATTATATAACAAATTAATAATTTGCAAAATTGTATTTGGCATATTGAAAATTTTCACAAAATTAATTAGAAAATCAGTAAAAAGGGGGGACAATTTGAGGGTATTTTTCTCTTGACCTATTTCTTGATCCATATTTAACAACATATTCCGTAAATTTCTTCCTTCATTCCATTTTAAGTAAAACCAATAAACAAATTAACACACAATTTTCGTCTCGTCAAGATTTTGTAAATAGTTCAGACTATTTATTGAGTACACCTTGTTATTCTTCATATTAGGTACTACAGGAGTGTTATATTCGTTATCCACTCTCGTAAAAAGGTCATTCCATATATCTTACAATTAGCAGATGAATTAATTGTTGCATGTTTCAATGAGCATCCGCGTTCGAATTGTTAATAATTAAGAAAATAACTGCAATTTACTGAGAAACGATATCGCAAAAATCAATGAAGTAACAATAAACGACTGAAGAAGTCGTATTGTGTTTTACCAGTTTTTACATGTATAGTGAGTTGAAAATTTATATTTATTTATTTATATAACGTGAAAGTTTGTAAAGATTATTAGAAAAGCTAAGTTCGTAACAGACAATGATATTCTCTAGTATATTAATATAGAGCACTGGCTCTATATTAATATATAGAGCTATCATAAAAAAATATCAAAAAAATATTTTACTAATAAATGTGTATATAGTACACATTTATTAGTAAAATATTTTTTTTAGTTAAATTAAACATTTATTGCATAATTTTTAATTATTTTAATGGAATGGCAAACAATCTTACGGCTCACTTGATGGTAAGCGGTAACAGTCACCTATATACATGATGGACATCACATTATGATGTAACACCCGCAATAGTACTCATGCGTCATTAAGATGTCATGGCTATCCTGTAATTTCTCTGTCTAACCTGCACAAATTGAATATATATTGCCAATTACTGTAATAATTATTTTCTCTTACATATGCGTCCATCAAATAAAATGTTAAACTATTTCAGAAAAATGACTACAATGTCAGAAGTGAAACTAAATAGCGAGTCAACGGAGCAAATCCTCCGTTATACCATAGTATTTTTAGTGACTTACGTCGGGTTTCTATATATGAAACATAGACAATCTAGACTTTACAAACTGGGCAACAAGTTACCGGGTCCATTGGCAGTGCCATTTATTGGCAATGCTCTTTTAGCACTTGGGATTAAAACATCAGGTAATATAAATGATCTTTTGTTTCCAATTGTTTTATTGCATCTCTCCTCTGTTTTAAGGACATGTATCGAGTTGACAGCGTAGGTGGTTTAATAATTACCATGATGTTTTACGTACACCCGGGTACGATCTCTGGACAGTATAAACTACTTATACAATTACTACTACTTATTAAGAATGTATTTACAGAAAAAGAATGTATTAAAGTATATCTATCATTGGTTTACCTACTATCCATAGTACAAGCTCTACTTAGTGAGGACTAGATGTATGAGTTATTCAAGTATTTACTTCTTCACTATTTTTATACGCACTTAGGAACTTCAAAATGTGTAACATTTTGAAGACAAGTTATATGAACTTGTACAAGTTATAGGAACTTGTCTTTTCTATCTTTACAACTTTTTATCACATGAAACAGCCCAATATTTGACACAGATCTCTCCTTTAAATTCCTATTTAAAGAGGAGATATGTGTCGTAGTCGTAGTCTGGGAGTAGTGGAATAACAGAGACAAGCGAGTTAAAGGTGTGACCTAACTAATGCACATATTATTGCAGGTGTGGTAGCCGTAGGCCTAAAGTATGGTGATAAATATGGAAATGTGATTCGCGGTTGGCTTGGTACAAGGCTCTTTATATTCCTTACCCGCGCTGAAGATGTTGAGGTTATCCTATCTAGCCAAGAACACATTGATAAGTCAAGTGAATATGATTTATTCCAACAGTGGCTCGGTGGCGGCATACTTATAAGCAAAGGTTTGTTTCTTTTTAATTACAGGATTCGTAATAGTAGAATTAAATAGATATCAGTAGGTACACTTTTTATCAGTAGCAATTTTTGAATACATAGCTCTGGAAAAATTTGGAATCTATGCCTTTCAATTTGGTTCAGTTTTCGTCTAAACTTCTAGTACTATCGATTTGATTATATAGAGACGTAAATTATCATATGGAACTCTGGAATAAAACAATACAACCCAATTGCGTTAAAACTCGATCGTTACAAGGTCGTAGATATTCAATTGGGTCTGTTTATGGAGCCAAATTTATTTGTAAAGTCAATGCGCATTAAAACTTTATTGTTTTTATTTAAATATAATTCTTTCTTTTGGATTGAAATATTAGCCCATTATTGTGCGTATAATGTAAAATACGTATATAATATAAATTCATTGTTGATAAAATTAATTTATATAGTAAAAATCAGTTTTATCAAGAATTAATATTTTATAAACATCTTTTTAATATGCAATCACTACGGCAACAATAATAAAAATTCTTACGCATAAATATTTAGACATTAATCATAATCACACTTTTCAGGTGAAAAATGGCGATCTGACAGAAAAATGATTGCACCGACTTTCCACATGAACGTACTGAAATCATTTGTATCAGTATTTAATGAGAAATCGAAGGATCTAGTAGAGCAGCTAAGATCCGAAGTCGGAAAGACGTTTGACATCCACGACAACATCAGCGCCACATCAGTTAATATACTTCTTGGTATGTTACATAGCATTGTATTTTTTAAAGGAACATATTTAACGCTATACATACAATTTAATAGTATTACGTAACGTTTGTAACAAATTTACAGTAACTTATTTTTCTGGATATTAAAAATGGACCTTTTCATAAAAAATCACCATTAACATTAAACTATACAGAGACCTAACAGTTAAGACCTTGAGAACAGCAATGTAATGCAATGTATTGTGTGATGTAGATAGTAGGTACTATTGAAGTATACCTACAGGCGATATATTTTCCTTTTAATTATTAGCTTAAACAAAAATATTGTTTCGTGTATGTTTTCATTGTGTTCGTATAACCATACGTAGATACCTACTGTATTCTGTAGCTAAATAATGATCGCAGAGCCAGTTTCTCTTGTACTTTAATCAATCTTAATATACAACGTCCGTGTATGTAATGGTTAATTTTCCATATTTATCGCATGTGAAACAAAGAAAACAATAAAGTTAATTCTATGTTAATACGCTGACCTCAATTTCCATGCCACATTTAATTAAAATTATTCACTGAACATAAAATATTACAATTCCTTACAATTAATAAGTACATTGTCTTTTCCAGAAACCGTCATGGGTATAAATAGAAAAACTGATACTAAATCCGGATATGATTATGCAATGGCTGTTATGAAGTGAGCATATTTAATAATATGATAATTAAAAAAAAACACTTGTGTCTGAATCAGGGTCTATATACTCGTATGTTCCACTAAACTTAAATCGGCTGCCAATCAATACAGTATGTATAGTATTTAGTAGTAGGTATATCTTATTGATTATAAAGAAATCATCAGATTCGTCCCATTTAAGAGAAGTCATCGCGTAACGTACACACAAATATGCCGTCAGCTTGAAAATCTCCTCCCTTTCATTTTTTTTTATTTATTTATTTCATCCATATTGTGTTAATAAACAACTTATAAACTATGTTAGTAAATTATAATATATAGAGATATGCTCTCAATTAATATGTCTATGTCCACGTACAGCAGGTGCCCCTGGAGCGGATAATCTAACCTATTTGCAATAGTGGTTAGGAGGTTGTTTGCGCTCCCCCGAATTCTAAACATCAATGATGCATTTCTTTTTCGCATTATGAAAACCATCCATACGCTCTGCTGCAACAGTTTCTGATCTTTGGCAGTCGGTTGAAATTATAAATTGTTCATTATGATTATTATTATTAGATTGTATATTGATTATTACTTACAGAATGTGCGATATAATACATCAAAGACATTACAAATTATGGTTACGGCTTGATTTAACATTTAGATTCACAAAGCTATTTAAAAAGCAATTTGAACTACTAAATATAATACATGGACTTACAAAGCAGGTAAAATGTTTAGATATCTTTCTAACAAAACATTATGCAATTAAAAACGATATATATAAAAACATATATGCTTTTAGGTAATTAAAACAAAAAAAGAAACATATGTAAGTAATAAAGCTAATGACGCCAAGTCAGCCCCAATAGAAGGATTAGTAAAACCAAACGATTACAAACATCAGGAAGAGAATACTGGAACTGTTTCTGACGACATTTTCAAACATTTTAAAGATGATTTAGATTTTTATGATGAAAATGACGTAGGTAAGATATATCACCAAATTTTGTAAAAGAAATTATGTTTAAAGTAATCCGAACAGTCGATAACTTTATAACATAACACTAGTCAATAAACACCGTGGATTATCGTGTAATGTCCTTCTCTTATTTTTTTAGTTATTTATATAGACTTTTATATAATTTATGACAATGTGTTTACTAAACGCTATAATGATAATATAATTAAGCATTAATTAAGCACAACATACGTTATTTACATTACAGTTAATATAAACGATCTTTTGTTAAAATAGCATTATCCATATTATAATTCCCAGAGTGCTTAGTAAACATTATTTTATGTGATACTTTTTTACAGGAGAAAAGAAACGTCTAGCCTTCCTTGATTTAATGTTGGAAGCCAATCATAATGGAACAAATAATTTCTCAGACAAAGATATCAAAGATCAAGTGAATACTATAATGTTCGCTGTTAGTATATTACATTATAATAATAATTAGTAAATAACGTACAGCAAGCCTTAAGAATCACAAGATAGAATATTCAATGTGTCTATTACTGATTCTATATCTACGATTTAACAATTTAAATTACTGTTTTAGATAAATATCGTCCGCTTTAATTTTGTATTTACTATGCAATGTCCCCTACCGAAATGAAAACCACAATATTAAATTCTTATATGCTCATATTAAAAATACATCGAAGATATTTTATTTTTTAATAATTTTATATTAATGTAGGGTCACGACACAGTAGCAGCGAGTGCCAGTTTCATCTTAACCTTGTTGGGTGGTCATCAAACTATTCAAGATGAAGTCTATAGAGAACTATTTGAAATATTTGGAGACACGGATCGTCCAGCCACATTTACTGATACAATCCATATGAAATACCTCGAAAGAGTGATCCTTGAATCTTTGCGATTGTTCCCACCAGTACCGGCTATTGCTAGACACTTAAATCATGACGTTACTATAAGTATGTATTAGTTTAATACAAAACTAACTACAAATGTATTGCAATATAAATTAAAATATATAAATATATTATATGTAGGGTTTAAATTTTTGATATAATTTATTACAGAAACAAACAACTACGTATTGCCAGCAAATGCAACGGTCGTAATTATACCATATAAATTACATCGCGATCCAGAAGTATACAAAAACCCGGATAAGTTTGATCCTGACAATTTTCTGCCTGAGCATACACAGCGTAGACATTACTACAGCTTTATACCTTTTAGCGCAGGTCCTAGAAGTTGCATTGGTATGTACTATATTCTATGAAGCTTAATAGTTGATCTGACTAGTTTTGGCCATGTTATTTACATACTTTGTTCTGATGTGAAGAATATAATTTATGATTTAACATTAGTAAAATGCCTAGTGTTGACACTCAAAAGCATATATCTACCTGTATATGTATTGTAGTATTCGTGACCTGTTCAACAATAATGTGCCAAGTTGACGATATTTGATTATTACGTTTTTTTTAGTGTCCTATAACAACCAATAAACAATAAGCTATTATGTATTATACTTCTACGAAGAACATGAACACAATTTAGTAATAATGTATAAACACAAATTAATAATTATAAACATCTGCTTAATAAAAAACAACGTCGTTAATTTTTAAATTTAATGTTTAACAGCGGCATTCATTTTAAATGTTAGTTACTAATTTAAATCTAAACAGATAGTCGAAAATACAGATTCTGTAAATAATTTATATATTTTTTATTACAGGTCGTAAATATGGCATGCTAAAGTTAAAAGTGTTAATATCAACAATACTAAGAAATTACAAGATTACATCAAAAGTGCCACATGAAGACTGTCTCCAGGCTGATATTATTCTAAAGATATCAGATGGATTCAAAATTAATATTGAACCAAGAAAAAGAATTATACCTAAATAATATTAATAAGCACCCTGTTTTGATGCGTAAACTAAAACGATGTGTAAAAATACATGCTGTATATAGAAACAATCAGAAATTTCTAGAATTTAAGACTCTGATACATATTACCTGAATATTAAATATGCTTAATTTGTAAATTATGATTTTCTTAATTTACAAAATTAAGTTATCGAATAAAAAGTAGTTAGTACTCTACTTCATATAATTGATTATATAAGTTTAATAAACGAATGAAAAGTACATTTACAATTATAATCTAGGTCTTTCAGTTTTGTAAAATTATATTAAAATGAAATCAATTCTTTATTAGTTTATAAACAATTTTACCACAATTTGTATCGGTAAAATAAATAAATATATGAACGAAATTTCGTTTTAATAATTTAGAATGTATAATAACTTACTGTAAAACAAATCATTTTCTCTCTGTAACATTAAAAATATGGACTACTCATAAATACTGACGACTTCGGTGGTCTATCGGTTTAGCACATCGATTTACGTCCGATGGTCACAGGTTCGACTCCTCGCACTCTACACACATTTGTAGTCATAAACATGATTGTTTTTATTGATCTAGCTATTTTCTATTTATATTAAGTAAGTATTTACAAAATAAAAAAATAGCAAAGTATATATGTATTTCTATCAGTTTTCTAGTAACTTAGCTTAACTGCTTAGCTTGGGACTAGATGGCGAGGTGTTAATTCACACAGCGCCATCTAGTCCCAAGCTACTTGAATACTTCAATTATTTTTTTACAATTGAAAAGCAAAATGTTTATTATTTTTTATTGAACTAGTTCTGGTTTTCCTCCACTATATAAGATTAGCATTTTTCTAAAAAATGTTTCGTGTTCCAAAACTTACTTTTAATACCAAAAAATCAAATAACATTTTGTGGTATGTATTAAAGCTGATTTTATTAATTTATGACAACAAAGGTCAACGGTGTTGTATGTCAATTAGGTTGTTGCAATAAAAATACTGAATTTGCAAAAGATAATTAATTGCACAATATTAACAGACGGCTGCAGGCGGACGGTTGGCTTTCCTTCAGGTACTACTGTTAAAATATTTTTGTTTTTTATAACTTAATATCTATTGATTTTCTTCTGTTTTGTGTTTCTAATTTTTATATTATATATGATTATATATATGCACGAGTATTAGATAGTAATAATATATTAAAAATTTATATATAAAATGAACTTCGCTTCCGCTGTCTGTTCGCTTAGATCTTTCACTACGGAACGGATTTTAATGCCTTTTTTAACAATAGATAAAATGATCCAAGAGGAACGCTTGTATATTATATATACAAGCGTCACACATCTACACCCGTTCGAAGCCGGGGCGGCTAGCTTGTATATAAATAATTTCAAATCTTAATATTCTTTAATAATATTGAGTACTGGTTCACAAATTAATAAATTTAGATATAAAATTAACTCCAGTACTATTTAAAATAAATAACGCTAAAATAAATAAAAACAAGATTTTATTAGTCATATATTCTATTTGTCATACATATAAAGATACTTTTGAATTAATAAAACGCGGAGCTCAAGTCACGTGTTTCCTCTTTTCTAGCACAATGTCGCTGACAATAGAAGAAGAGAAGCCTTATCAATATGATGTCAATCGACTCGTTTTTTATACTCTTGTTGCCATCACATCTGTGTTATGGTTACTGTATCGAAGGCATCAGCAGTCAAAAATATACAAATTAGGCAATAAGATCCCAGGACCCAGCCCGTTGCCGTTATTTGGCAACTCTTTATTAGTACTTGGAATGAAACCTTCCGGTAAATATGATTAGATTTTTACAAGTTTTAATGCAACTAGTTTTAAGTTAAAATTGATGATGATCATGAGATTACGATATTATCGAAAATTTAGAGTCGGGCCCAATGATTTAAATGCTGATGACTTTAACCCTATAATTTGTGAATTTGAATAAAAAATATCAAAAAATTATCCAAGAGACGTAGAAAGCTATAATAATATATATATGTTTCTAATTATAAGGGGAAAATTGAGGACATGTTAAATGTTGCATTCACCTCTAAGGTGGTAATTCACAATGCCTCTGGATACCACATCTGGAATGATATTCATTATTTTATTATATTATTATAAAGTTAAATAATATTCGAAACGAGATTAATTCAATTAAAATTGTAAATTTTATTTTCAGAATTAATGCAATTTGCACTAAAACTTTCAAAAAAATACATATCCGTCAGTCGTGTGTGGGTCGGTTCCAAACTGGTCATTTTTCTCAGTGAGCCTGATGATGTCGAAGTCATTCTTAACAGCCACATCCATATAGACAAGTCATCAGAGTACAGATTTTTTGAGCCATGGCTTGGCGAGGGTCTCCTGATTAGTTCGGGTATGTAGTGAGTGTTGGTTTATTTGTTATTTCATTTCGTTTAGCGGGAAAGAATGTGATATATGTATATAACATAAGATTCTACAATACAAACATTAAGAGACAGTCTTAGTCGATCGTTGAAAAAACTGATTTGTTTATTTTAAATTTTATGGTTTTAGAATGTCATCTTTAATTAGAACCAGAAAAATTATTATGAAGTACATCCATTCTAATTCCATATAATTCATGGCGAAATGTATGTGGAATTGAGAATATGTTACTGTCCTTTATAAAAATATAAAAAAGGTATTTAAAATTAAATAAAATTATGATTATTTATTAATGTATATATTTTTGGTCTTCAGGTGAAAAGTGGCGATCTCATCGTAAAATGATTGCCCCGACGTTCCATATAAATATCCTGAAATCATTTGTAGGCACGTTTAATGAAAATAGTAGAAACGTGGTTGAAAAAATGCGATCGGAAATTGGTAAAACATTTGATGTACACAACTACATGAGCGGTGTCACTGTGGATATTTTACTTGGTATATTTTCATTTTTAATACTTCTATATCATTCAAACATATTATACAAAAATAAATTTCTATAGAAGAGAATGACTGATTTAAGTAATCTTCTTCTTCTATTGTATTCTATTTTTTAGAAAAAAGTAAGTAATTTACGCATAAATTTGTAAAAGTTTATAAATCTTAACGCCATCATTCACTAAGACATTACGTTTGTTGTGCTAGTAAATTATACAACTACCTAAATCAATTGCTTCATTATAGAATTTTTAATATACAAAATGGCAATTTTGTAATATATTATATTAACTAAAATGTAACATTAATGTTTCAGAAACCGCTATGGGAATTACAAGAAACACCCAAGACAAATCTGGTTTTGACTACGCTATGGCGGTTATGAAGTAAATCAAACACATGTCATATACATATATATTTTTTATATATTTTTTACAATTACAAAACTTTTTTGTTGTATTACAGAATGTGCGATATTATTCACCAGAGGCATTACACATTTTGGATGCGTTTCGATTCTATATTCAAACTTAGTTCCTTTTTTAAACAACAAACTAAATTACTTAGTATTATCCATGGGCTTACTAATAAGGTAACCTAAGTATATAAATATAAAGTATAATCTAATTTTAAATCATTACTATTTAAAATAGTAGTCTAATCAAATAATTTATCGCCAATTTGTAGGTAATTAAAGAAAAAAAGGAGTTGTATATTGAAAATAAAGCCAGAGGTATCCTGCCGCCTACTTTAGAAGAATTAACACGGTCAAATAGTAACGAAGCATATACTAATGCTAAAAGTATTGCTGATAACGTATTCGAAGGATACCGTGATGATTTAGATTTCAATGATGAAAATGACGTTGGTAAGAATTTAGTGATGCAATAACTGTATTTCAAATTTAATATTCAACAATGAAAGTTACGTAAATTTATATACAATAATTTCCATTTGTTAATAGAAAAAAAGACGTATAAATATATTATTTTCACATAAGTTTATGTATATTGTCATTGTACAGTGTCTTTACCTAATCTATAATTCTAAGTAAGAAAATATTTGCATAAGTTTTAAATAAGTATTTAAATTAAATTTAAACTTAATCTAAATACCAACTTTTTTATTTAATATAGGCATAAAGAAACGTTTAGCATTCTTGGACCTTATGATAGAGTCTGCACAAAATGGTACAAATAATATAACAGATCATGAAATAAAGGATGAAGTGGACACCATAATGTTTGAAGTGAGTATTAAAAAAACTACTGCTTTATTTTAGCATTTACTTAATAAATTCAATTAAGTCTTATATTTATTAAAATTAAACTAAACGCTTTAGTTAATACGATTTTTTTCCATTAGGGCCACGATACAACGGCAGCTGGTTCCAGTTTTGTTTTATCTCTCCTTGGCATTCATAGAGAGGTCCAAAAAAAAGTTTACGACGAACTATATGACATTTTTGGTGACTCTGATCGACCAGCCACTTTTGGTGATACTCTTAATATGAAATATTTAGAGAGAGTTATCCTGGAGTCTTTGAGGCTATACCCACCAGTCCCAATGATTGCTAGGAAATTGAATCGCGATGTTAAAATAGGTGAGAAAATTCCTTTATTTATTATATTTTATTTATAGAGATAGACTTCGTCGTCATCTGTGTGATATTGATCTTGAGCCAGCTATTTTAGCCCACAAACAGCGTGCTTTGTAAGATGAGTTTCACTTGAAGGGTTTCAGTTGAATATGCTTTAAGTGTTTACAGTATGAATGTTAAGAATATGGTAGTGAAATTTCAGAGTACTGAGGAATAACATGTTAGTACTCCGGATACTCCGGTGCAATATATGAGAATAGGGGGCTTCATGACGACGTGGTGTTTATGACAGTTTACCATTTTCGTGGACTACGCTACTAAATGCAGCTATATAAGCTACAGTAATTTAATAATATAACTTATCTTTTACCAATTATAATAAAAAAATACTATTAACCAAAAGGTATACCTTTTTTCTAGTTACCAATGATTATATACTGCCAGCTGGTTCTACAGTTGTAATAGGCACGTACAAAATACACCGTTCTCCAGCCCACTACAAAAACCCCGAGAAGTTTAATCCTGATAACTTTTTACCAGAGAATACACAGAACAGGCACTACTATAGCTTTATACCATTTAGTGCCGGACCAAGAAGCTGCGTTGGTAAATATATTTTTTTGTTTAATTTATAGAAACCAAAAGAATCCGATTCTATATTAATGATGTGTTCATTGTTGACCTATTGCACATACGCTAGTTTATATCGCAAACTTCGTCTTCTTAGACGTTTTTGTTATCTATTTTAGATATCTAAATACTTTTATATCCCTTACTTAACTCCCCAAAATTTCACCCCTTTCAAATTATTTTTTGATACCAAATATCTTTGTCGAATTACATCAATTTCCATTCAACCATTCAAAATATCACAGACAGACATACTTTCGCAAACGTAAACAACACGTAAACGTAAATCATAAAAGTAGGGGCAACTGTATTATTAGGTAAGTTAAAGAAAGTCATTCAAGCTCTTACTTATTTTTGCAGGTCGCAAATATGCTATATTGAAACTTAAGGTATTGTTGTCGACGATACTGCGTAACTTCAAGGTGATATCTGATATCTCAGAAGATCAATTCATACTGCAAGGGGATATCATACTTAAGAGAACAGATGGTTTTATGATTAAGATAGAGCCTAGAAAGAAAGTTCCATCTACGGCCTGATATTTTAATTGAATTAAACTTTTACTTAGAATGACTGATAAACATTATTAGCTATATCAAGAATATAGAACTTTCTTTAATATTTCTATAATTCGCTCAGAAAATGAAAAATGCCTAATTAGAAGTAGTACTATAAGCAGCATGGCCATTGGCTCTAACACATGAACATAAAAAGAGAGTATGAATCGTGAAAGTGTTTGTATGTGATAAGTAAAATAAATATTGGTATAATCTGAAATTACTGAACCTGTGTAACAAAATAACGATTTGATAGTATCCAATTTAGATACGAGTGATTACCTACCCATTACCTTATATACTACCCTACATATTTATTTCATCAAAGTGAAGTACTACCGACAGCAAATAACATTAGATTTCATAGTTTTCAATAATTGTACTGTGTTATATATTCGCATTTTATGTATTTGTTGGACCATGTATCTCAATATTGTATTCGACCATACATATTCAATCATCGAGTTATTTAAAAATTGAATTTTTGGGATACAAAATTACAATTCATTTGGAAGTAAATAGTAGCAAGATAGTATAAATTGATAATGGAACATATTTTTTAATACAATAATTATTCTATTCATATATCAATTTACGAATAATATTTACATATATTACATACATTAACGTTTTTCTGTATATAATATGTAAGTATCAGTAATTTATTTATTAGCAACAAAACATTTTCTTTCAAAACTGTTCATACATTTATTATTTTATACATATTATATAAGAACATACAATGTACCCACTACGTGCGACCTTAATTACATATTATATAAAGCAAATAATATAATTATGACGTTATAAAATATCAATTTACATGACAAATATATTCTCACTAAAATATTTTTTACCGGTACCAAGTAGTTGGCTGTCATAGAATTCATGTATTCGACATATAAGTGAAAATATTTAATGAACTATCTTAGTTTAGTAATTATTATTATACCATAAAAATTAAATAACATTAAAACTCAATTTAGAATTATCGCATAACGGATACATGCGGTGTAGGTTTGTTATTCAATGGGAAAATGTTATTTTTAATTACATTGTTATTTTTATAAAAATAATAATTATACTCTTCGGAAAAGTAACTATAATGAATTATGTAACTGTTTAAGTATTACACTCATCTATATTAATTAGTAATTTTAAATTATAGAAAATAATATTAAATTAAGTAGTAATAAAAAAATAATATGATCTAAGTAATAATTACATGTAATAATAGATATATACCGTTATTTCTACATAAAATATTACTTGTGTTTATGCCTTTTTGTACTGTCTATTTGCTACTATACTAATAATTATTTTAAATACGTTTCGTTGCTGTTTTCACTTCGTACAATATTTCAAAGCCGATCCTCATCTTTAAACATTTAGAATTTAATAGATATGACTGTCTTTGGGTATAATTTAAAATATGTTGCCTGTACCTAATGGCTCTGCGTGAATTCAGATAAAATCCTTTGTGCATCTATGATATAATTTTACTCTGTATAAAATTTTATTCGATATACACAATAAATAACACAAAAACAATAACAATATGGACAGAGCGCACAAACTTTCTATTTATATGTTTATACCTAATATTAGTAGGATTTGAGGCAAGCTATCAAAAAATGTCTGTAAAATTTACAAAACAACATTGTAATTTTAATAATCTGTTAACAATGAATATGCCTCTTTATTAAATAATCTGCAGTTTATGACAAGCATGATTTAATGAGAACCTTCTCATGAACCTTTACCCACTTTGATAATACTGCAATATCGAAACAGTAAATTGTGTTAAGTTATATTATCGTATTTATTATTTAGTCTATGACTTTGCTTTCACAATTTTCAGTCCAGAAAAGCTATAATTTTAATATTTTTTTCATTTCAAGTTGTATCAGTCTAAATAGTATTACACGAGCAAAGGCGCATAAAATAACTAATGTAATATTAAAAATGTGTTTTATTTGTGATGAGCAAATCTATGAATTAAATTATACAAATGAGTTTTCTTGTCAAGTAAAATACAAAATTTTCAGACAGCTCAGAAAAACGTATATACGAGTACATATAATATGTAAAGGTATTAGCGTCGGTATATGTTGAGTTAATAATACATGACATAAATTATATTTTAATATTTAAAGCTGTTTATTTTTTAAGATAACCCTTCTACACTATGACAAAATTGTTGCCCTATCATTAGTATTTTAAAATGAAATTCAAATATAGTAGACATTAAATTTCCATATTTTAATGATTATAATATGAAAATAGAACAATATTTATTCAGACGAACACTTAATCTAATTATCCTGCATAGAATTATTATTACCTACTTACCTAATATAGTACTTAGTTATTTCATAAGATAGGCACTATGATAACAAATGTCATTGTTCTTGTAACAGTCTCAACTGACACAGATTGTACTGTTTAGTTATTTTGAAAGGCACAAATATTAATGATGTAATTTACCTCAATTAACGTTAAACAAGTTCACATGTAGTTTTATGATAAATGAAGTATTCAACAGTCCAAAGGACTACGCACACTAAGCAACACGTACTCATTCCTATAAAGCAGTACACGTAGCTGCCCGTAGCCTCATACAACACACCTGAAAACGATAAATCCTGTGTTTTCTATATAAATACAATGGCAAGCAAGAACACTCTCTAGATGGTCACTGCTATTTTTTATTATATTACATATTTTCGCCTCAGTAAAGATCAAAACTTGCCTATAATAATGTACCGAAAAAACAGAAAAACATTTTCTCCTTTTGAAGTTGGTCAAAATATTATAGTAAAAAAGCCATTAACATCAGGAGAGATATAAATTAATATATAACGAGGTTCTAAAAAAATAAACGTTTTAAATTACTTACCTATTAATGGATCAGCTAGAAGCATTAATACACCAGAAAATAATATATGTAGTGCCAAAGCAGCTGGAAATCTATCTGGAGCAGCTGCTATTAGCACCAGCGGGAATAATACCTGAACCGCACATCTGACTAGTCCTGACAGTGCAGTCACTATAAAGACGTACCAAAGATTACTGGAACACACTAAAGCTGAAAGAAATTTAAAATAGCATTTCATTACTTAATAAACAATAACATTACTTGTTAATTTCAAAAATTGCCTAGAAATTACCTTTCTACTTCACTTGTAAATACTAAATACGTATAAATGGTATAATTCTTCTTCTGATATATTGTAAACTTTCATAGTATTATCATTAATTAATAATGAAATTGTTCGTTTAATAATATTAATATGTACTACTTTATTTTTGTAATTTAATTATAATGTGAGAAAATGAATCTCTCTATATTACCTAACTATCCGCCGATTAATCCATATTATCTAAATAATAAAAAAAAACAATATAAGAGACAAATAATACTTACCGATACGCAAAAATATTGTGATACATGTTCCACCAAAAAAGAGCTTCCGACTGTCAACTGCGTAGAAATATGTAAATAAAGCTAGAAGAAATCTTGCAAGCAAGTCTGCTATAGCTCCAACCATTACGCAAGTTGCTACCTCCATCTTAAAACATATAATAATAAATCAGACTACATATATTTCCTAAGTTATTAATCATTACTTTTATAAAAAAACTACCTGAGTAAAACCATAAGAGAAGAGAAGCATTGGTTCCATTGCCAAATACGTAACATCGGAGACAAAGGCAAATCCAATACCAATTAAAGTACTGACGAATCTGGGGTCTTTTAATAAATCTAACTCCACGTTATCATAGATAATTTTTCTGGAAAAATATATTCAGATCTTTAGTATATTCTACTGTGATATGATATATTTTTTATGGTAACATATACACTTACATAATACTCTTTTGAATAGATTTATGTCGATCCTTAGTTTCTTCATCTATAGAATCATTATCTTTAATTTTAACGGGTGATATTTTTATTATAGATTCGTCATTATTTACAGTTTCTAATTTTTTTACATTCTCATTGCATTTTGATGATAATTCTGAAAATTATAAAACGTATAGGATTTTAAGGATAACAATCGCATCAATAATCAATGTGTCTTGTAATTTCCACTGCATGTTTATTGATAGATACTATGTTCGGTAATATTTACACATTCATTGGTTATTTTTTATTTAGTCCAGTATATAAACATCTTCCAAAATGCCTTGAAACATTTATATTTACCTACTTCCTTGTCTTTTTCTATAGATTTAACTAAATACCATTCAACAGGATGCATGACCAACATAGCAAATAGTAGATGAAGATCTATAGCCATGATTATAGCTAATGTCCACCTGAATCCGTATTCAGACAGAAGAAGAGTCACCAACATGGGAAACGTGATAGATGCCAAACTACTCATGGTTTGGTTTGCGCTCATCATTGTTGTTCGCTTTTTCGTAAAATAACAGTTGAAAGCTGTAAAACTAACTGGCACCATCACACCAAAACCAGCGCCTAAAAATAAAATGTTAATTAGCATTATTGAGATAATACTATCCAATGTTACGCCAACCCCAAGTGATACGGAATAAGGATAAAGCATATGATGATCACATTTGATTCTAATTTGAATTGTTCATATTCCAATGAATATATAGGCATGTTTCTTTGCTCACAATTTATGATCAGTAGAAAACTTAATAAGTCTATTAATGTGCTTTAATTTAAGAGTAAAGTTCCCAACAAGACGCATAACTGCGCCAGATATGCGTCTTGTTGGGAACTATACTATTTGGAGCAATAAAGAATGCTGTCATGTACAAACCGCAATATCGTATGATGTTCGTAGTGTCGGTTTATTATATTGACAGCGGTTACCGCCTTCATCTGATCAGATCATAATGTTGTTTGTCATTTGGCAAAAACTAGTTCAACTATCGGTTTAAGCATAATGTAATCAAACAGGCAGGGGATTAAAGGTTAATATTTTCTATGTCTCGTAAAAAGTTAGTCGTTATAAATTAATGTTATTATCAATTTTTATATATTTATAAATATTAATCTATACGATTCATTTTATCAAGTCATAAAATAAGATTCTTTAGAAAATCATAACAGAGATCATTCTAAGGTGAAAGATACTAAAGTAAAAGCTAACTAAAAGACAAAGATAAGATTGTTATAAAGATAATGTAATAATATAATACGTTACAAACTCCGTCTCAAAAGTTGAAGGTTTGTTATACATATATAAGAGAAAGTAAAATTAAATTTTTCAGCTGTGGCATCGGTCTATGTAGCAATCTGAGGTAACTTAATAAAACAGACAGCAAATTTGTTCTTTCTTCTCTATCTGTGGGTGTAACTGTGTATTTTATAGCATAGTGATATATGACATAGGTCGAAACTTATTAGCTTTCTGTTACCAATGATAAATCTAAAATAATGCTAAAAACTTTAGCATAGGGTTTAAACTTTAGCATTCCTTTTTTAATTCTTTTATATCATTTATAGAGTGCTTTGTTCCCCTAGACTGATCTTGCAATATGTTGTATTCGTGTGTATTTCTTTTACGCGAAGATAATCCACCTATACTTACCTCTAATAACGCCAAAAGTGAACACCAATTGATATGTTCTCTGCACGAAAATAGTCAGTATATCTCCAAGAACAAATAGTCCAGCGCCAACAAGTCCCACTTGACGAAATGAATACTTTTTCAACGCAATTCCACTTAGGAAACCTTTAAAATTAGAAACGAGAATCTTTGTCATTCAAACCATTTAGAGACTCATACTAGACATATATGTATATTTCCCCTCCGATCGATCCGTCAGGCAGGAGTTGGCCTTCAGCCGCTCCATAAGTCCTTCCGCGGGTTTGGAGTGCCATCTTCACTCGCCCCTAACGTCCGGTGAAGCTGTAAAGGCTGGCTACGGCCAACAGCACTAGAGTAGTCCGAAAAAAAAATAGACATATATTAGTCGTACAAAATATCATCCAGCATTTACTGATATCGAATATTATTACCAAAATAAATAAGATACACGCCTAATATGATATAAATCATTTATACATGTAAGAATTTTACCTACACATTTACGTATATATATATACATGTATATGTGCAAATATATAGGTTGCCACGGTACCTTACGATGATAACCAGCAATTAACATCAATTGAAATCCTATATTTATTATGCTAAAATAATATAAAGTATTTCAAGTAGTTGATAATGTACACCGGATTTATTTTTATTGAAGAATGATAACATATGTTGATTATACAAATATAATAACAGACAAACAAAAACGGGTTTAGAGTTGTTGGAACTAGATGTCATACAATATCTTATGTTACGATTACATTGTATCTATATCAGAATAACAATGAGTACAGGAAAGTTGCACAGATCATTTTACATAGTTTATAACTTTCACTACTGTAACTACTCGCTATCTACATGGAAGCTGTAGGAGAATAAAAATATTAGGGGACTTTATCACCGTACAGAACCATAATAATTATTAGAATTTATTACAATTTTTGACCGTTTGTTCAAAACGGCTTAAAAGGTTTGTGTGCGATTATTAATTATGTTTACGGTAAGCTTCACTAAAATTTTATCTTTGTTTTATTCCAATCGATTTACAAATAAAAAGGTGGCAACCATTGTTGTTTTCAAAAGATATTGTATCTTTTGGCTTATGCCTTATATTATAAGAATACAAAAGTATCTTTATTAATGATCGTAGATCCAAATAAAATTTTATTGAAATTTTATTTGGAAAGTCGTAAAGGCAGTCCGCCTTATAATCGGTGTCTTTGCTCAATCAGATGATCTTGGTTTACTAATGCAGTTCAACAGCTGACAATTAGGGACAGTAATTCAACCACACGTTAGTTGAAATTAATGGACGTTTTGGAGCATCGAACGTTAATTGATTGTGGTAATGTACAAGTCTATCATGCTGAAGATTTGCGTCATTCTGTACTATAGATTGATGCAATTAAATTATGAATTGTAATAATTTAGATTTCTAATTGCACACATATGAAGCTACGCTTGTAGTAAATTTTAGAAAACAGATATATTCTTTATACAAATTTCATAATTTTAAATGGTAAAAAAATAATATAAATATAACATAGATCTGCTTGTAGTATCATAGTAGTAAAAGATAAAGCAAACTAGAAGTATGTATAAATATATAAGACGGTCCATCTGTTAAACGTACTAGAATTAAATTGTTAATATTTAGATATAATAAAAACGCCTTATGACAAATTATAAATCCTATACGACATAAAAGCAAGTTACCCTTATCAATATACAAATAATAAATATGCTAAATTCTTGTGGCTCTTGCAATGATGTAGTTAACTGTGTAAATGTGTACAATGCTTTTATGCTTACTAATGTACTTCATCTTGTAGATGATTGATGTCAATTAATTTATGCCCCATTCCTAATCATTGGAAAATTCATAAGTAGTAATAATATTATAGGTATACCTTATATATTTGCTTTTATGATAGTATTTGTAGATTATATATTAAGATTTGAACCGTTCAAAGCGTTCGAGAAAGGTATAGGAGTATGATACTGCCCATTTTTTAAAATATTATAGTCTATCCTTATGATGGCTGAACCGATTATGCAATATAGAGAGGAGTAGGTATGTTAGATTTTATCCTCAGTTCTACCGTCGTCGTTAGAGTATGGCTTGATATATGTGCCTACCTATACACCTATTTCAATGTACTTATATATGTATATGTATTTTCTCTATTGTAATGAGTTTAATAATTTAATAGTAGGTGATATAAATCTAGCAAATGCTGCGACAGACATTCACTCTCTATTACTAAATTTACTTTTTTATCACCTTTACTAAAAATAGATTTCTCTATAATTATACATACATATCACATTTATCATAAAAAATATAATTCTGTTTAAAGTTTTTATTGTACTACTTAGATACAGATTATACATAGAGAAAATATACAAAAAGATATACATATAGTAACTATAATTTTTGTATGCTCCCGAATTTGATGCTAATGAAAACAAAATATGGTCCAATATAACTTAGGTACAAATTATCTTGGACCATATTTTTTTTAAAGGATGATAATAGCATGGTGCTCTCGCCTAGCTCCTAGAGGATGTGTGATCCCCCTGGAAACTATCACGTCAAATTCGCCAAGAATTTAACGTGATGGTTTCCAGGGGAAACGGCGTGGAGGACAACCTTGACATTGCCAGCAATGGAGTTATTAATCTATGTTACTATCACTCCCCTTTCCCCCTGTTTATTCATTTATACCTACTATAAATGTATGTCATAAATTAAAATCTATAGTTTTACGATTTTCTATACATCAATTTATAGTTAAATATACAGGCTAACTTCTAGAGTTCGCAATTGTATTATCTATATAGTGGCATGTAATATGTTCAGAATTTTTTATTAACTATTCCCATTGCAAAAAAAGCTTAAATTGTTACTTATGTACCATCATAGCATTAAGCGATCATATAATTAAGCGAAATATAAAAAAGTACAGAATTCTAAACAACCGTGACTTTTTTCAAAAGATAACTAGAAAAGAGAACTTTGCAAGTAGGTAATCAAAAGAAGTCTAAGATTAGAGAGAATGCGTGTATATTCTACCTATAGTCAAAATAATACCTGTAATAGATAATGCTCCACTGTGCACTCCTATAACAAGGGTTAATCCACTAGCACCGTCCTGTTCTAGGAAGAAATTATTGAACAAGATTCCAAAAGCATTGGATGAACCAAAACCCAGCATCTGAAAAATTCCATGCAATGCTAGTATATTTTTATACGCAATTTATTATTTTAATTTTCGTCGTTCATAACTTTATCACAGGTTTAAAGTTAGTTTACAGATTTTGCAAATCTCGATCATTTTTCTGTCACTTTTAAGTGTTAATGTTGACCATATGTATGTATATAGGTAGGTACCACAAATAATGTATCCAACACTATTTTTTAAGTTTAGAATTTATCTTTAATCGAGTCCAAAAACAAACACTTGGTGACTTAATTGTTGGAACCGGGTTTCGTTAATATACCTATTATAAAAATATACATGATGATAACAGGTACTTACAAATGTCAATCCTACGCCAATAGCAACAACATAACCCCAACCTCCATCAGGCGGGACCAATCCTTCCTTGTCTTGTCTCCTATTTTTGATCTCGACGTGTGCAAATGCCTCATCCATGGTGAAATATTTAAAAAGGAGTTTGTAAAAATAATATTCTTTTTTAGGTAAAAATTTCTAAATTGTCAGTTATTAAAGATTATTAGTATAAATGATCCGCATTATTTTTATTACTGTTGGAGTAATTTTATTTGTACCTACACGTTATTATTAAATTGTATTTCAATATTAAAAAAATAAAATTACTTTATTTTCGTATGGTTTGCGTTTTGTAACGAGTTTTAAATGAGGGTCGCACGCACGTCCGTACTAGATAGTCAAAGCCATTGCAGTGCATTAATTAAACTCCAAGATATGCTTCCGTAAAGACAAAGTATCAGGGTTCATACGTAACAACAGCAACAAATCGGGGGAATATTGTAATTACGGTCTTCATACTAGCAATATGTGTACCAATATCAGGTTGGCCTCCACGCTCACCCTGGAATCCATCGTAATTAATTTTTGAAGAGTTAAAAATTACGTTGGGCTAACTGACCTGATTTCATTCTCATCTTAACATCATCCACTGGTGCCCCCAATTTATTACCTAGTTAACTTGTGAAGTCGGGAGCACCATTTCATCTTCACCGATATAAACATTCTGTTTTTTATGATTAAAATTTTTCGAATATTATTCGATAACTCTAAATTATTTGTCTATCAATTTTGTCCAGCAAAATATGAAAGGTAATCAGCTAACTATTGGTAGGACGATACCAACATTTATTATTGGACCTATTTGTGATAATTTTCGGACACAATTCAGTGAGTTGGTACCTTTACCTACCTACTGTACCTACAAGCAGCATTCATATACTATGGATATGGTTTAAAGCTTCCTCTGCAATCTTGCTGAAAAAGCTGGAAATCATATGTGCCAGCTTTATGTGCATTCCTATAACTAGCTCAGAATTAGCAGAACAGATACCTACTACTTGTTTTAAGAAGTTAATTTAATAAATTTACCGGATTGAAATAAGCAGCCTGTACGTCGCTACAAGAAATGTAAATAAATATAGGTATTTATATAATTTAGGCTCGTTTAAAACATTATTTAATAATTTTGTATAAAAATATTTATTCATCAATAATTATTATCCCTACATCCGTTTAGTTTTTGCAACATTTTTCATTGCAACGCCGCACCGTAGCATGATGTTATGTAAGTAGTTATGTAAGAGGAATACTCGTAAGTGAACTCTAACTAAATACTTATTATCATTTAGTAAATGAGAAATCAACATCGATAATTAAAATATTTAGCACAAGTGCTTTAGACATTTCTGTTAGCAACCACTATCAATGTTATTGCTGTCAAATTAATCATCATCTCGAGAGAAATCAATTTATTGCAGTATATAATGAACCGATATGAAAATGAATTATAAATGTTTAATAATAGGGACCTATAATTAATATCTATATTCTAGATACCTACTTAATTGATTTAAAATATCATTTACCCATAAAAGTTGTATTAATTTTACTAATATGATGTAGCTATGTATATGTATGTATATATATATATATATGTATATATAGAAGATACTACATATTATTATATTGTCTGTGAGTGGTGGGTGGTGGTATATGTAAGTAGATATAATAATATGTCATAACATATACTTACCACATATACCTAGTTAAAATACAATACTGTACCTTAGGAATGACGATTTGTAGATATGATGGTTAGTAGATATGTGTATAGAGATTAAACTCATTGAAATCAAATGACAGTTTCTGTTTCAAACTGTACATAACATAACAATTCGGCCTGAAAACTATCAAATTGATTATGTATAATCCACAAATATCTATTATCTAATAACAATATATACATTACCTAATAAAATAAAAGTAATAAAGGCTTCAGAAGGTAACAAACATATAGTTACACTTGCATTTACCTATATTAGTATGGATATCGCCTAATACCTTTAAGGAGTCAAATTACCTACCTAAAATGAGATGATCTATGAACCGTGAACGCGAAACCCAATAAAACAAAGTTAATCCTCCCTGAAATCGATGCGTATTTTCTTCATTTAGTAGGTATTTTTTAATGGCCGATATTGGAATGGTTTACCTGCATGCGATCACAGTATAGGTACGCTGGCGATTCACCAGATAGGTAATCCTAGTAGGTACGTAGGTAATATTAACACGCACTTAAAACGTAACCCTATATACAGTTTACAAGACAAGAACAGACAAGATCTCTTCTTCTGTCGTCGTGTAGATAATGTCAAATATTTCTGATATTCGAAATTTTCTCTTCAAGCAGATACAACAGTGTACAAATTCCTACTACATATTACAATACCATACTTCAAATTCATACAATATCACCTTTCTGTGTGCCAAAGCACAATTAATCAATTTAGCATCACCAACAATTTGAATTAATGTACACAACAAGTTTTAATTAGCATGACTATTTAGAAAAAAAATGTCCCCTAAGAAATGATTCAAACACTCAGTTATCACGACACATAAATTGAAAAGTACCTAATAGTTTAAAGGAAATTAAATAAAAATACAGTATAGGTAACCGGTTATTAATTTATTCGATTGTCTTTTTTCATCCATTCTCCATATGCTTTGCATAACATACATTGTTAAGAGTTACTCAAAACTGACATTATATTAATAGTTACTTTGAAATAAAATCTTGCACCAGTCGATATTTAAACTACATTACAAAATTCAGTATGAATCGAAACAACAGAAAAAGGATCAAAGAATATAACAAATACCTTCTTATTGAACTAGTCTCTAAATTCAATAAATTAACAAAATAAACGTCTGTAGATAAAGTATCTAAAAAATATAGTATGTATAGGAGATAAAAAAGTCCATTAAGGTATACACTTTTTATATTGATTATGATTACTCATTGAGAGCGTACCCGTAACTACATATTAAAAAAAATGGTCGGAGAGACTACTAGAAGGATACTCTCATCTCGTTATGCGTTAAACTAAAAGACTCTCTTTTAGTTTAACACACGTCGCTTCTTTTATGAATAGTAGTGGAGATAATTTAAATAGTAGTCAGTTGTACCTAGCATACGAGTTATACACTAATGAATGTCTAACATCACAATAGGGTATACTTTTAATAGATTGTGCGTTTTCTCCATTTAATTGGAATATATCTGATCTATATATATATATATATATGCCACGGTGACATTCTTTATAGTTACTATTATATTAAATCGACTATAAGAGTTAATATAATAATAACTACAAATAATGTGTGTGATGTGGCATTCAAAATTCGCATTGGTTGCTACGTTCTGACCCTCTTCGAAAATGTATGTAATACATATATTAAGCAGACTCTAACAATTTATAAACAGTTACACAGGATGATAATGATAATGAATAAACATGATATTCTTACATCTTGATAATAGGTCAAAATAAAATAAAAATTAAGTAGGTAAATATTTACTAAGTACAGACAACCAAGTCTTGTCGTATCAATTATTATCGACATAATATACACAACAACAGTATACATTCAAATCAACATAACAAACAATGTCGCAATTTAAAATAAAACCATATGATCATATTATACAACAATATTGTATTATGTATTTTATTCAAATTGTAAATCAACAATTTGATAATGAGGTATTGTACAAAAAGATATGCTTGTTACTACTTTAATGTATATTATACTATTAACAAGCTACATGTCGATATGTACGCTACAAGTCGAAAAATATTATTTATAGCGTACCTACTTATTAATATAGCGCGTCAAAATCGTACGTGGCGCTCCCTAGCAGTGCCATCGTACTACAAAGACGTCTATGAATGCTTGGTCATTCATTATAGTAAGGAATGAGAGCGTTTGTCTAGTCAATATACTCCCCACCCGTACGTTCCTCACCCAGCAGGAACACCGTGTACGAATTTGACGGACTATACATTAAATAGCTTCAGTAGAAATCACTGTAATCTAATGCATAGGTGAATTATATACTGAACTCTAGAACACAATTCACAAAATTGCTCTGTTCCGTCACTTTTTCAAGTTCAACATCACTGAATCGGAATTAGTTTCCAGAGTAGACCGACTAATTGAACGATGATCCGATGGTCAAAGTAATGGCTGAATAATAAGGATTTAATGTTTTACCATGTAAGAATTTAATGCATTTTTGTTATAAATATAATATTTTCCTGACACACTACACAGATGTGGAAAAATTTAGACGATTGGAGTGATTTCTCTAAAACTATTGCATATATTATATATGCCCTATTCTATTAATATTAAATGTTAATGATAGTTTATATAAACTATTCATTTTCAAAAGCGACTCAGACTTTTTGTTTACATGATGTAAAGGCAGAATCAATTACAGTCAAGTCTTATTGTATTTACCAAAGTCTAAAGCTCTTATGAGACCCAGCAAAACTGAAAACAAAATTCAAAGTAGTATTAAACATTACAAATATTAAAAATATAGTAGTTTAAACTGGCTATTATTAAAATTAAAATAATTGGCTAACAAGCGTAAGGTGTTAAGTTATATAATGTTTAGAGATGATACTTGTTTAAGTAATATATACTTCAATAAAAGCTATATTAAAGCTTATAAAAGTCCGTTTAATGAAATGCGTATTCTTAAATACGTAGTCAGCTTCATAAAATTATTAGCCACGAAATAGTGAAGATTCTTTTTGCATTTTGTTAGAACACAATGTTTTTAAGATGCTAAATTATTATCAATAATTTGAATAGCTAATCAAAATTAATGTTATAAAATAAAATTTATATCCATCCAATAATATAATTTGGACTATCTTTGACTGATATTAAAAAGACTGTAAAATAACTGGAACTTGAACAAAACCATAATGATCTCAATTTGCGCAATACACACTTTTTAGTATTTAAATCGTAATAATGCAAGTTATACAGAATAAAGCCAGACAACTTGTCCTGACATTTACGATATTTATATTTTTTATTATATTTTCTAATCAAATTATCCTATCCTGAATTAAAAATTACAACAATAGGTGATTAAAATTCAAATCATTGCTTATGTATCTCTTTTATGCTATACACAGGGATTTGTTAATAAGTCACGTTATATAAACTATACATATATACCTTTAAATGTCCGGTCTATGAACAATTACAAATGTCGAATCGGTTTTCCGATATTCCATAAGGAACATCAATTATATACATATATAATTGATGTTCCTTATGGATATATATACGTATATTTGTATATAATTATATACAAATATACGTATATTATACAAAAAAAATAAACTCGCGCAAATAAATATTTAATAATTGATCTAATTAAAAGTGATGGCATTATGTGTATCAGTAAAGAACAATACATGAAAAGTGATGAAATTTATGATTTAAACCGAGTAATATTATGATTCACCTACTACTCACATACCTATATATATCCTAATATACTTATATATCACATACCACGTTCGCTTTGCATTATAAAGCTCACATACATTTTATCACGAATATAATTATATACATTTTCTATTCGTGTCCGTTAAACTAATATTTTGAAGTTAAAAATAATATCGCTTTTCTAAATAGAGCACCAGCCTCTTTAAAATTAAGTAAAGATCTGTAATAAAATATATATACTGTATATTTAATATAATAAATACTGAATATTGATAGTGTAACTTGTTGACTAGCACCTAGTCATATGGCATTATGGTGACGTAAGACGTATAAGGTGCTATTTAGTTGTATGTATACTCGTAAATGATATATGACTCTGGACATCATACAGCGCCATATATGTAGTTCCAATGTAATCAGATTGCACTACTAGTACTAAAAACTGATAGATTATTTTTTTGTAAATATAAACATAATAAATATTGGACACAATGCTATGTGTTGGTGGTATGATACACTCATTAATAAAAATATATTGTGTGTGCAGGGAACAACGCGCGATCATAGGAAGGTGATAGAGCATTAAACCCCTACATCACCAAGGTCAATTAAATGTACATCCAGATAAGATGATAAGTCACATTTATGATTACAATGCAAAATAAGAAAATGTACATAAATGTACAAAACAGCAAATATTAATTTCAAATGCAATACGTACATTTTTCTATCTTGACATCTTTTATCCAATATCTAATTAATACAATGATTAAAATGTTTACACAGATACATCACATATTTTAAATGGAAGATATTTAATATCGGCTTATGTACAATTGGCACATAATTTTCATTAATTGATTTGATAAAGACACTATGTTTATAGTGGTAAGTACAAAAATACAACAGACATTTGAAAATGGCGTCCCATTATAAGAGTTGCCTCAATAAGTCATATAAGTGCTGACGACTTACAAAGAATAATTTACATAAATGTTTATAAAATGTTAGTAAGTACTCGATATATTTGGTCACAAAAATCACACATTGAGAAGCGCACATCGCAGTATTAATTGATTAATACATCTATACAGATTTTTGGAAGACAAAAACATACATACATTGCTGATAGGTTGGTTACATAAATAATAAATATAGACCAACATTGTGATAAGAAATATGCAAATGTTAAAAAAACTTTAAATTGTTTTATTTAATGTCGTAATAAAACAAAACATATAAGTCTAACATATTACATATAAAAAAATACCGATAATCCTTCAGTTGCATTGATAATTACACATTAAATTTATAGGTACAACATTTTTCATTCCTATTCCTGCTTCTCACATACATATTTCCTATAACACGTTTGAATTATTATATTACTGAATAACCCTTACTAATAAATAATTAAATAATAAGTAGTACATAGACGACATTGTCACTTTCAAACACTATGGAATTGACTGAAAGGACGCAAATATATTACATTTTTTTTTGTATATTTATTAGTAAGGACTTCCTTGCAGGGGCAAGAATATTAATATTTAAGAGAGCAATGGCAGTATAGAAACTCTGAGACCTATTTTGACACATTTTTCAACTCGTCTGAGTCTGAATTAAGTTTCAATTTTGGGCCAGTATAAAGACTTGGTGTATAATGATAGAAATATAGTTTTGGTATATAGGCTTATTAAAAATATTCAATCCTGATCTAGTTATATGTGATGTTTTTACAAAAATGGCAATATCATAAAAGAACACTTTATATTTCATAACTCTATTCGGATATTTAGTATACTTACTATGTTTTCGTTCGTGACACTGTAACGAACGCGTCGTCAACACTCACCCTGAAGTACACTTTCGGCGGCATGCGAAAACATAAAATTTCCATACATAGTTATAAAATATTAGTACAAAATGGACAAGAATATTAAAAAGAATACTTCATAAATATGAGCGCCTGATAGAAGCCCACGTTCAATTATTTTAGTTGCCCAATTTATTTATGTTATTATTTAGTTATAGACATAACATGAATTTAAAATCTATGAACAATAAACTAAAGCTTCAGTTTTTTGTTTGTAGAATTTTTTTGAAACAACATTTCAGCAAATAAATACACGTTTACTAAGATCTATAGCTGTATACTATACACCATGTCTTTATATAGCCTACCAACTTTATAAAATATATATTTAAAGACGCGTTACGTTCTAAATAAAATTTATCTCTGCTTTGACAGATTAAGTATTAGCAAGAACAAATTACACAAAATTACTTTTATGTCAGTTTGAATATTAAATAATACATATTAAAAGAGGCTAACTAATGTTAAAATTGTTATAACTGGTTTAATTTTATAGCTAGTCTAAATATACCATTAATAATTTGTTTTTGAGTTTCCTATATCATTATTTTTAAAGGTAATTCAAATCACGAGCACATGCTTCATCCATTTTACTTCACCGTTATGTTCTCATATATTTCTTAAGAATAATAATATAATTAAATATAATGATAATATTTAGTTTTTTTATTAAGTGAATGAATGTTAATTCAGACATCACACGTAATTTTTCGAAACCAACTGATTTCAGTAGGTTTCATATAGTATAAAGTAATTCAAAACAAAAGATCCAAATAACATGGCATATAGCATAGTTACATTAACAGTACTAAAGTAATTCAAGGCTTCATAATGAGGAAGTCATTAAACGGTAGTAAATTGTGCCGGAAAGAACATATTGTTATACCAAAAGAGAGTCGACATCGTGAATTGAATTATCTATATAAATATTCACCATCCTACATTACCTACTAAATTTCATCACAAAATGACTAACTACATAAAACGTTTCAAAACTACAAACAGCCATCTAAAAATATTATTGTTAAAATCAATGTATCTAAAAGTTACCTACATATTATTTGAATGTCATAAAATTTGAAGATTCATTCAAAATCGTGATTCACTGGATATGGTTAATTTAGAGATACATTAAAATATTGAGAACATTGAGTTCAATAGCATTAAGTCATCTTTTCGTTACTACAATAATAGTACACAACTAACCTGATAGACTGCAACATTTAAAAAAAAATACAAATGAAATAATTCGGAAAAAATACGGATTATTCCGTTCACTGTGACGTCAGTTAGAAGTTACGTCATAATTATATAAATAGACGTGGTCGTTATAATAATATTAAGTCAAAAGTCTGTATAAAACTGTATGAATAGTATAGTTTACTAAAGATGTAAATAATTGTAATCTTGTTACTATATACGACAAACATCAATATGATTAATAATAGGGTCACATAACAATATAAACATTGTGTACCAAATAACACTGGCCAGTAGCCACTTTCCGCATGGTTACTAACCACATATTATTACAACGATTGAGATATGAAAGCGAAAGAGAGAGATAGAGAGAAAGATTCAATTTTTTTAACAGAATTCTGTTAAATGTAAAAATTTCTAAAATATACAAGATTAAGAAAAATAATAATAGCATATACCTACTATACATATTGTCAATCAATCGAAATCTTAGTTAAAGTAATTAACAGCCAACTTGTCCTTAACAATTTTTCTATTCCTCCGTCACAACATCTCAAATAATATTAAAACTAACATAAATTTGATTAATTTAAACATTAATTCCGTATGTCGTATACAGTAACGAGGATTTCGTCATGGTTTTAATAAGTCATGATAGATTTTGTGACTGAATAGTGCAAGTAGAATCCACCAATTTACTATTTTCCATCATAATTATATTATAACCTCCGAGGCATATAAATATTTTAGAAAAATAACATAAATATAATTTATATCTGCACCACTTTGCGGCGACGGGTGAATACTAACGCGTACTCGATCGCCCATACCACAACACACGACATGATCATTGCATTTTGAACTAAAATGCACATTGTAAAACTGTCTGTTGCATCCCTCACGTAACCTGTAAAGAAAAGTATTTTAAAATGAGTATGGTTTATACTAATTTATAACAAAACGAAAAAGTGAATCTGTATACTTAATTAGTAGCCAAGCAGCTTGCTTTGCTATCTGTATTTTCATTGTAGAGTGAGATAAAGTGAAAACGTGAAACTAGTGAATAAGAGGCATGACATATTCATTGTCTGGAAAAAACATGGTGATCACTGACTATATATTTTTTTATTTATTTATATAATTCGGATTATGTCCATATTGTATTAGTAAACAATTTATATACTATATACATATACATGTATAGAACTAAATACATCTCAATACAATCATATTGTGACATCAATGGTACTCACATATTGCCATTCTTAAGGACTATGTCTATACTGTAACTTAACTGCGATATCAACCCTTCAAATTAGAACACAGCTTGAAATGCAAGCCGCCACCAGCAGAAATGTAGTAATGATATGCTTAATATTGGAGCTCACCAATAAGGGGGCCGATGGCGACTACTAACACCCCCTTGCTGACCATATGAAGTCCGAAGGCGGCCGGTAGCTTCTCCAGAGGGCAGTACTCCGATATTGTAAGCGTGAAGTTACTTAAACACATGCCACGGAAAAAACCGCATATTGACAGCCAAATCATAAGAGGCACCCATTCAGATTGATGTGCTAACACTGAAAAAATAAAACTTTCTGTTTATAGATATGAATACATACGGTTTTTATACAGGTAGGTTGATCTCAATTACAAAATATCAAGACTGACATAACTAATATGTCTTTTCTTTTGAGCGTGAATGAACTGTATATATTTAATGTTTGATGTGTAATTTCAAATATTGCTTTCACAACGATACCGACAATTAATAGTGCATGTGTACTATATATGTATGTAGTTCATGCTTCATGATTCTCTATTTTTTTTTTGTTATTTCTGTCTAGCATCCTTAATATCGATTGTAATGGTGGAATATATTCATATAATCCATACATTCAGTCTAATATTCATACGTAAAACAAAATTTTTGTACTCCTTTTTACAAAAACTGCGAGGACGGAGTATAAAATTTCGCACACTTATAGTTTATATAAAGAAGGAAAGTAAAATGCTATATTTGAAAATTATGCATACAAATACATTAAATCCATAAAAAAAAACATACACACACACGCATATATACTCTATTATTTTTTGTTAAAGTCTGCGGTCAAATTGAGAATAGATTAACACTGTTTATCTTTAGTTTATTTGTCTATTGTCTTACTGAAAGTTAAATTAATTAATTAATAAGAATAAATATGAATTACTTACCAGAGCGAGTTACCGCTAAGAAGAAAGAGGATATGAAAAATATCATTTTCTTGGATATTGAAGTCCTGTCAAATATAGGTGGTAGCACCAAACGAACCAATATGTCGGTTATAGCTGTCATCGATAAACAAAACGCCGTGTCGTTCATGTTGTATCCGAGACTTCTAATAAAAAATGGCGTTAACATTCTAAATTGTAATTCCCCGCTCCAAAACAGAGAGAGACCAAGTAAAAGGTTCAAAAAAGACCAGTCTTTCAATAGATCTAGATCCATTAAAGCAATAAACCTTCTAATGAAGCCTTTCTTTTCTGTTTCCACTTCTGGCTCGACTTTCTTAATAGTTTTCATTTGTATGGCTTCATCGTCAGCTGTCTGAAATTAACATGTTATTTATACTCTATTTACAATACAAATAGCATTTAATAAAAAAAATTAAACAAAATGTTCATTAACCCGACCGTCATAGTCCAGTGGTTCCAAAAGTACCAATCAAAAATATATAATTTATTGAATTTTCAATTAATGTCACTATAATTGTTAAAAAATAAATTGTTTTTGGTTTAAATAAATTCTTTAATTCTTAATTTAATTCTAATTATACTTTATTACAAATACAGTATGCCTGACAAATCTTAATCTAAGTTTAATAGATTAAGTAAAATTGAAATAAAATATAATTTAATAAAACTTACTTATTAATGTTTTTCTTAGGATTATTTTTTTAGAATAATATTTTTATAAGAGTAGAGCAGTTGGATAATAATGGAGCAGAAAATATTTCTATTATTTCTATTTTCAAATACACCTTAGCTAAATAATAACTAAATTAGTGGCTTATTACTAGTAAAATATAAAAAAATATGTACCTACATCAAGATACAGTTGCAAGTAACTGCCAGTGAAGTCCATATTGGATATGTTCGATATCACAGACACCTTCCGTCTCCTGGCCGCTTCACTCATGCTGCCACTTGATGTCACCCGCGGCATCACAGCCACCGACGCCGCTGTCGTCAACATACCTAATTTAGAGTTCTTTTCAAAGTCTTGTAATGGTTTATCGCAAGTCTTCGCTCTTGGGAGACCAATGGTTCGAACTGATGGGTGGTTCATATTGCCATGTGACCGTTGTGTTGTGAACTTTGGTATATGATTAACGAGAGGATTTATCTCGAATTTATCCTCGTTTTCTTCGTCACTCTCAAATATGCACTCCATTTCCTGAAATACAATATGAGTTATGAATGTAATTTGTCGATTTTATGAAATTATTATAGTAATGTGTAATAATTTTATTAATTTAGATAACTTTACTAATCAAATAATAAAATATAATGCAAAAGTAGACTTAATACCACTAGTTTATTAGTCACTAGTTATAAAACCTTTGTAAAGTGTACTTCACAAATAATTTGAAGCATTTTGTTACAGTCAAAGTAAAATTTCAGGTATAACTTTACTCATACGACGTTTCAATCGCAGGAAATAATGTCCTCTTCAAATGAAAAATGGCAGATTCTGTACGGTGCGAGAATTATGTTCGCATTTAATCATTTACTACTTAATATTGTTACAAAAAAATGCAATGTAATAACTGAAAATGATTTTGAATTCCTGCAAATTGAATTATGGAGATCTTAAATTTTTAGATCAATTGTTTTCTTATTATCGTTAAACAAATAGGTATATTTATTTTTTCATCATTGAACTGTACAGCAGTTCCTTAATTACACCTCTTTAAATAGATGAGTCACACCATTTTATGTTGACTACATGTAAATACATTACTGAAGTACAGTTACTGTTATACTATGGTAAACTTTGTACAAAGGTATTTATTTATCTTCATTTTTCTAACACTTTTAACAGGTCTTAATCTAATACAATAGTGTAATTTACATATGTCTATTTCTAAGTATTTGTTGATATATATAGCTTTGATGTTCTGTGTTCCCTATTTCTGCTGACAAGCAGTAAACTCTGTTCGGTTGAATAGTCAGATATGGCAGTGAAATTAAAAGGTATGGAGGCATAATAACATTAGGAATGGTAACGCATAGAGATCATACAGGGGTCTCACGACCACGTGATATCTGTCGTGCAATTGACATATATGCGCGACGGTTACCACTAAACCAGGCTGTAGTAGCGTTTCCTCTTCTCTATTCCATTGATACTACATTTAAAAAAAACATTTTCACGAACCTTGACAGCTTGAAGCTCGCAATCAACTGGCTCATCAATTAAATGCCTTTTCACAGGTTGTAACAAACAGGAGCCGAGCACTGCGTGAAATGCCAACGCACCGAGTATGACGACCGTCCACCGGAACCCATACTCTGCTAGTAATAACTTGACTAGTTGAGGCATCACCATCAGTCCGAAACCCGTCCCCGCCATCGACAGCCCAACCGCTTGCCCTCGCTTTTTGGAGAAGTAATGGTTAAGTGAAACGAACGATGATGACGATGCGAGACCGACTCCAAAACCTGGAATACAGATGAAAGAAAACAATAGTACATTGCAAACAAAGAACACAGTGATTTTATCTATCTATTCATCTTAATGTCATTGCATTGCTAAGCCCTGCAAGATAAGCGAATGTCATAAAATATTTAAACTCATAAATGCTCTATGTGTGATAACGTGTTTGTTTTTGTTTGACTACATAAAGTCTAGTAAAATATAGTCTGCGGTCCTCAGTCTCACCTATTTTAACAGCTTGTTTTGCAAGATGTTACGATTGAAGAATGATTAAAATTTAATTACAGGATATAAAGGCACTGTATATTTGCTCATCAGAATAGCAACGCATGAACGGTATCACGGTAGTCACATGAATACGGGATGTTCGTAGTATTGTCCGTGTATACAGGCAACGATTATCTCTTACAAATACATAAATTAGTAAAAAAAACGTTACTGGACATAAAGTAGACAAAAACTTTACATTCGAAATGAGAATCGTCATAAATACGGTGGCAGCGGTATTAGATTTTATCACACATACATTTATTGATATTGTAGACAATAAAAAAATCATAATACTCGGTTATTGAATACATATTATGATTAAAAATCTAGATAAAAACTAATATCATCGAATATTAAACTCATATTCATATTAAGAGTACGTATTTTTTTTTATTTATCATTATATTTTTTACTTTACTTCCATTTTTAAGATTATAGCTTTGGTTTAAAAAGACACGTGTGTTTAAAATAATATATTAATATAGATTCACATTTAATGAAGTTATCGCATACACAAAAAACAATTGAAAAAATACAATACAATTGAGAGCCTCCTAAATAGTTAACAATAATTGTTAAATTGAAATGAAACACCTTTGCCATTTAGAGAACATTATTAATTTTATGTTTTGAAGGCCGCCACAAAATTTTCCGTCAAACTGAGAGCGGTTTTTTAGTCTCAGCAGGTTCGGTTATTGACTCAACTGAGTACTTAAAAATGGATGTAGAGTACATAATAGAATCACAGCATTCTATTTATGTACAGTTTTTTATGTAATGGACAATTAGCTAGCGACTTATAGTATTGGCAATCGACCATAATGTTTTCTCGTGACGCTGACTTTTGACGCGATTGAACCGAAACCATATTTAAAATATATAACATAGTATTCTTCATTACATAGTATAAAACAAAGTCGCTGTCGGTGTCTGTCTCTATGTATGCTTAAATCTTTAAAACTACCCAACGGATTTTGAAGCGGTTTTTTGAAACTCAAATGTTTTGGAAATAAATTAAATGTGTAATAAAAATCAAACTTTAAATGAGAACTAAGAGATGTAGATACAAAACGAACATTTTTTACGACTGCGGTTAATTTATTTATCGTATTAAATATAGCAATTAGTCACTAAACGGAAATTAGTGAATTACATTATTGATCTATATACTGTAAATAAATTTATAATATACCGTCATGGTTAATTCTAGAATAAATTTCAATGGAAAATCATGATTGACGTTGTGCATTATGAAAATTAGCCGTATTTTCTTCCTCTTATTGTGGTTCTTTCAAATTTATGCTACATTCATACAATAAAATAACAACAAGATACTGAAACAGTTTGAAAATACGCTACCAATCTGAAATTTATATAGGTACCAAAAACTTTAGAAAAGAGATGATTCTTAATTCAATTCGCAATATTTTTGATAATGAAGTTTCTACATAAAAAATATAGAGAAAGTTCTTTTAAATACAAATTTGTCTCAATATATTTTTGCAGAAAATAAATGAAATCATACTAATATTAAAAAACACAAAAGCAATGGATGTATGTATGTTTTCCCTTTCTTGCATAAGCCACCATGAAAGGATGGATGGATTTGAATATTCTTTTTTACATAAAGTCATAGATATATCTTATTTTAAATTAATTATTAACACATAGAATACAGCTGTAGGGTAAACTTAGTTTATAACAATGGCAACCGAAAGTCGACTATCTATAGAAAAATATACATGCTGATACTTAGTCGAAGATTAGGACAGGTATAATAGTAGTGTAGTATATATAATAGTATTATACACTTATTACACTTCATTCACATTGCGTCGCACAACATTTTCCCCGCTTTTGTTACATTTTTCATTGTAGCTTCGTTTATATAATAATATAAATATAGTATTATATTATATATATAGCGTAATGTTATATACTATAATTGTATAATAATGGTATATAACATCACGCTACGTGATGTTATATAGCCTATATAAATGGGTTATCTAAAAAAAGAATTTTCAAAATCGGTTCAGTAGTAGGAGGTCTACAAAAATTTTACCTCTTTATAATATTATTAGTATAGATTGTATTGAAAGCCTTACTCACCTCCTATAATACTGTATGTAGCTAATATATGCCCCATGCTGTTCGCTGGTGCTGTTAACAGGAGACCCAATGCGCATATCGCAGACCCCACCACACACACTTTCCGGTACGAGAAAGTCTTGATAACCGGCCCCACAAAGAAGCCAGAGAAGTTGACCACAGAATCTAACGTACTGGCGATGACTGATGCACCAGTGGTATGCACCCCGAGATCATCCAGCAGGTCTTTGAAGAGAAGACCGAATGATGGCTCCAGTGATCGCGTTGAAAACTGAAAATATATTACAATAAGGAATAATATAGGATTAAATGTTATTGTGATTTAGAATAACAATTTCCTTCCCATGTGGTCACATTAATTAACTAATTATTAGCAGTGGTCACCAAGTGCTCGAATTTAGACCATAATTAATTCAAATTATAAATATGAATAATCATTAAAATCAAATACATAGTAGTGGATGTAATGTTTTTTTTACTCTTTATAATACATACCTACATAAATGTATAATTTCAAAAAAATATCAGCGCTCTGCACTTCTTTCCCATATAAACTATAAGTAGTATGTAATTTCATATTCCTCCATACAGCGCGCAATTTTCGTAAAAATTGCGCGCTGGATGGAGTTAAATTTCGTAAAAAGGGGACTAAAGTACGAGTATATTTATATTTATATACTGGTATTATTAGTATTATGAGATACCATTTTTTAATTTGGTTTTAAACTCATTTTTATTTATACATGTATTGTATTTCGACTATTTTGGGCAGTTTCTACTACTAATTTTGTTTCGATTTACAGACGATTAAATGGGCAATTAGCAAGATACGCCATATCATAAACAACAAATATATGTTACATATAAAAATAAAACGAGTCGCAATAATTACAAAAGTAGTATGACCCACCACAGGAGTAAAACCTATTGATTGTAAAAAAATCAGTGAAGTGCGTTCGGAATTAGTCCAAATATCACAGAGTATAGAAATAATACAGTTCCATAAAGCTTGGATCACGAATAAACTGCGTACGTGACGCTATGGCAGGACGCATCAATTAGATATAATAAAGTCACTTTAATTGTCAATATTGATGTGACGCAATACAACCTATTTCCAGAAGAGAGCACTTTCTTTGATATCTTAATGGATATTGTTATTGATAACAAGAGATTTGATAGTACTTGAGATTCATCGGTGTTACTCTCATAAGTGTTTCAAGATATTTATTTGACACTTTTATTATGTGACTTAAAACTAATTCAAAAGGACTGTTATAATATATTTTAAATTATTTATACTATTATAAATTTTATAAATAATAAAATTAATTTAGAGTATATTAGCTAAGATGCAAATACAATAACAGTTTGATAATTGTTTCTAGGATACAATAAAATGATGTTTACGTTATGATGCTAACAACTGTACATAGTAATTTATCACATAGTAATGGTCCTTTGTTGCATTAAATACTTTTCTATTAAGTTCGTCACGTTGGAGTCGAGTTTTAACTCGGTATTTTACATAGAGAAAGAATTACCTGCTACTAAGTATTACAAAATATTTAATGAAACGTGGACAAGTCAAACTTACGTTCATGACTGTGCCAATCTCTGAATTTAATAAAATTATCTGCCTTACATCCTTATGTCAGCTTCCTTGGGAAGCAAACATAGAGATGTAAGTAAATATTCAGTGCCGTTAAACTCTATTCTTTTTTTCACACCTCATTTTGTACAAATAAATATTTCACAGCAAACAAGCAGACAGCCCACTTGAAGGTAAGTGGTAACCGACGCTTATATGCAGATGAACAATACTATCGACATCACGTTGTAATGTAACGCTCATAATACCGTTCATTTCGGATTCCTCTTATTCTGTAATTTCACTGGTTATGGTAATAATAGGCACAGGTAATAGGTATTAATTATTATCGATAAATAAGTAAACTTTAATAACGTTAAAATTCTTTTAATAAAAGTGAAATAGTCACGTCATGCGTGACTATTTCACAATAATCGTCGGGCTGAACGGCACCATGTGCCTTGTAGCACTATGTAATGATGCTCATCATAAACGTTTAGTATCACATTAAGTACATTAAAGTGACCTTTATTGAATGTTAAGCAGAACCCACATATGGCCTCACGTTTTGCTGATCCGGAAAATACCGTTACTATTGACATCTTGGTTGACATTTTATTGCTAAATGCGATTTATTACTATTTTATTGCCTATTAATAACCGTAACAGCATATTACACGCAGTTTAGGGAAAAGGGGATTGTTAGTAATGTAGACGACTAACTCCATTCTAGTACCATATCAATTTAACGTCCACGCGGTTCCACCTGGAAATCATAGAGATAAATTCCTGGTAAATTTGCCGCGATTGGCAGGTCGTTTAGATCTATGCTCATGGTCATCTTATCATCCTTCAGACTGATGTCCCGCCAGCGTAAACCGTTAGTATAGGCGTCTCCACCATTCAGTTATTATCAATTAAAAATATCACACAATCAGAAATTACATGCAGTTTTAAATAATTAAATGCTGCCAAAATATATATAATGCTCTAAAAAATTAAACCATTAAGAACTTAATAACTATACGTAACTATTTAGATCATAGTTATTTTATACTTTAAATTAATTTATAAAAAAATAAGCGAGGCTCCATTTCATATGTACAATCATTTTCAAGTGAAAGATATTGGTAGATTAAATACATACAGTGCATTTTGCAAAACGTTTATTTGACAGTTTACAATAATGCAATTAAAATTACATCCCACAGTGTATGAAATAAGTAAATTTTATTTATTTTCTGGATCCATTCTATTCATCATCGTAACTCTCTGTCATTTTCCTTTTGCGGATATTGGTCTCCTTTTGTTAGAAAGAGCCATTACAAAAATATCACTTCATGTACATTTATCTTGTACATATGTGTCTGCCTGTGTCTGTGAAATGTGTATTATTGACAGACAAAATTCTGTATAATATAATATAATGATGTGATATATATAATTGAAGTAAATGGAAATGTCCGTTAGCAATAGTTAAGGAAATATAATCTGTTTATAATAAGGATATGCTCGGACGTTGTTTTTGCACATTCTTAGAAGTCAAGTCTAACTTGCATATAATTTTGAAGATTGACATATTGTATGTCATTTCCGGTTACTAAATATAACATTGAAACTATAAAACAAAACAACGTCGTACGTTCAATCATGTGCAAACCTATTAATATATGACATTTATTGTGTATAGTTTTCAGAAAAACCTCTAAAATACTTACATTTACAATACTGACTCCTAAACACACCATCCATGCCCAGCCGCCGTCTGGAGCGACCTTTTTTGTGGTTGGCGGCATTTTGGGCAATGTCCCTTTAGTTTTCTCCACCGTCATTTTCAGCCTTTGTCACCTATGCACCTGTAAAATACGAAAACTATAAATTATCGAAAAATATCATACTTCTATCCATATAAAACTAAAACTCGTGTTCATGAAGTTGAAACTTACGCTCATTATAAATTAGCGGACTGTCTGCATTTATACTTAATTAGTAACGTGCACTTCTCGAAATCCTAAATACCGTAATCAAAATACAGTACAGAAAAGAGCCAGTCATAGCTACATGAATCTTATTTAGCGACAAACTGTATATAGGAAACCTTTAGTATAGTGAATCTTTTTTTTTTATTTTACATTTTAAGGCCACTTATTTATTTATTAAGTTTACATTGTTATGTTATTCTACGTAGGCAACACATTATATTGCAGTTTTTAAATTAATTGAAAAGGCAAAAAAGCTAAATACAAATGCCAAATGACTTCTTGACAATTTTCTGAAATATATTTTATAATTTTTGTAGATTTATTTTGAGGGGGCTTTACCCCTGCAATTACCTAATTTTCAAAAAAAGCTTTTTGATAGAGAATATATGAATTTTATTTCTCTTGGTTTGAAATTCGCGCTAAAACACTATGTCACGTGACATTTCCTGTGACGTCATATTTCAATAAACGAAACAAGGCTAATACGGCGCTCTAACTGTTTTGAGTGATAAGTATACAGATTTTATTAGAAGTGTGAAAGTGACAAGCTACAAAACGTATGCGGTGCTTATGTGTCAAATTACGACAATTAAATGTTCCAACAAATTGTTTATATACGTTCCTAAATGCCAAAAACGTCGAAAGCAATGGTTACAATTGGTACGCCGAGACCCACAGTTTATGTCTGATATGTCTGCGATATTCTTATGTGAGGATCACTTTGATGTAAGTATTTAGAAGATATCAATATGTTTTATTTTCCAGAAATAAACGAAATCTTACCTAACTTTTTGAACTATAGAATAAAGAAACCTAATTTCTACCTAATGACACTATGTTTTTCTTTATAACTTTTCTTATACTGTATTGGATGTAATTTTCCGTATCATTATGGTAGGTATGATACGGAAAATTATATCCAATACAGTATAATTGGTTTTATTGGTAAAATAAACATTAAATAATAAACTCGGCAGAACAAAAATCAGAATTACAGGCAAAGAGATTTGCGATCATAAACGAATCTATTCTATTCAGATTTGCATTATCCATTTTAATATCCTAACTCCATTTCGTGAAACTTTAGACAACACAAATTAATGTATTTGAGCGATTTTCTCAGCAATCTATAGAACAAATGACATGAGATTACTTAACAACGTTTTGTTTATTGAATTTTGACGTCATACGAAGATTAATCATGGCCGCTCCATGTCAACCACAGATAAAAAAACTCAGATTTATTTTCCAAAAATAAAATATGAATAATGTTTTGTAAATGCAAAAAACATATTGTATGATTACTGTTTACTAAGAAGCTACCATAAAAAATAGTTTTCATATTTTATTTCTACAACTGTCAAATAGCCAATTGTAATTACTTGAAATTTAGCGCTCTAGGTGAGGTGAGTGACCTCACTACAAGTTTATTCTTTCTTTGTCTATAATACCCGATAGCGATAAAATTAGAGAGGCAGAGTTCCCCCTCATCCCACATATATTCATACAAATGAACAAAAAATAGAAAAAGTAATATTTGCAAACAAATATAAGCAGGACCTCCTCTTTCACAGTAAACACTCATCCATGCCTAGGCATCCCTCATTTGTTGGCACTTTGAGAACCCCCACTCGCAGTGACCGTCATAACTTTGAATAAAGTACTTAAGAACCTACATTTCTTACAACTTCACATGTGAAATATGTTACCAGGCCAGATTAGACAACCTAGCTACAAACCCCAAGGTATTCCTTATGTTAACATTTTGTCAGAGTTACGGGAATGCGCGAGCAACCATCCGCATTAATTAAATGAGCACTGGTTATTACTTGCTGGTAACTAGGAACTTAGTATTTTGTATAATTATTTTTTTGCTGATTTACAATAATTTTCCTTCTATTATAATATTGGTTGACAACCCGCACTAACTCTATCATGACTAAATGAGTACAGATTATTACTCCCTGATTACTGCTGGTACCTAGGGACTTAGAATATTATATATTTATTTTTATGACCAAGACGAGATTTTATGAACAAGAGATGACCGGTTTATTATAATTTTCGTTCTATGATTATAGTGGTTGACAACCCATACCTAACTCTACTACGAGTAAAGTACAGTTTACCTATTACTAGCTGTTAATTAGAGATTCAGAATGTTATATAATTATTTTTTTTAAGCTTTATCATAATTTTAGTTGTATGTATAATGTTGTATAATGCTTGAGATATAAGCCTATGATTGTCGCAAACACCACACGCGTCTACCGTAAATAACTATAAATACAGACCAGGGTACATAAAAAAAAATATCACGCGAGTAGCACGTGCTTGTTCCATGCCCACACAACGTGTCGTCAGCCAGACGTGTTATTCAATATTGCATTCGCAATCAAAAATGCACAGCGACAAAAATGAATGGGCTATAAAAATTTCTATGTTAAAAACTGGAAACAGTGGTATAATTTTTTTAGGTTATATTTTTTGCTGTCGTATAACTTTTTTGTATAAGTAACAAAAAATGTATTACTTATTGTAAAAACATTCTCAGTAACAGTATTTAAACAGATACTAATAAGTGTCACGTTGTGTAAAATATCAATGTAATGTAATCTTACTACATCATACGCTATATTGTGTTAAATCACATTTCAACAGTTCTCCGTCTAAAAGAGCATCTAGTGAATCCATATCTAAGAAAATGACATACAAGTATAGACAAATAATTAATGTACTGAATACCATACAATGACCCTACGTAAATAATATACCTATAGGTTAGTAGTATGCCTGTCAACCAAGCGATTCTCGGTGCGCGGAATATGTTTTTATATTTATAAAGCAATAAATAACACCTACATTCAGAAAAAATATAATTTCATATGAAAATAAACTATTGCCTAACTACCTCAAACCTACATTTAGTCGATTAACTTGATTGTTTGTTTAAAACGATAACATTTTTTTATTGTTATTATAAGATTAAATCTTCGTAAACATAAACAGTAATTGATGTCAGGGTAGTTTTACTTAATAAATACTTTATATTTACATTTAACTATGTATATAATATATGCTAATGATCGATATATTGTTGTTCTTTCAGTGACATTGACATAAAATTTGTACTAAATAAATTCACTTAAAGAAAAACAGAAAATACATCAACCAAAGCTAATCTTCGGTTGCATTTAAAGAAATTTCACGCATAAATATAAATACTAAGCAATTGTATTAAAATAACATTTCCTGTTTCTAGTACGCTTATAATAGACTAAAACAGAGTACAGACCGACATCGCGATCTTATATAATCCGCTAGTGACCTTGTTTGTGTAGTAGATGTCTCCGTAATATTCAGTGCTATGAATATTAAATTGGACTCCCATTGTTTGTCGACTGGAAAAATATCATTGTCTTGTATTTGGAAAGATTCAAAATATTCGTGATACAGTTATTTCTTGAAACAAATCTGATATCAATATGAAATCATAGATTAATGGAAGTGACTTGATTTGAGAGTGCCCGTCGTTTTATGAGATGTCGAGTACTCATAATTAACTTTTTCTCGCCTTATTCCATAACTCTATGACATAAGCGTCAAGCCTAAAGACAGCTCTATTCTTACTCTAATATAATATTAATAGAACACGATAGTAAAATAAAATAATCAAGAAACCTGGCTTAAAAGCAGAATGATTTTAAGCAAACGCTCAACTTCAAACATAAAATAACAATATTTCTTTGTGTTGTATTTGAGGTTTTGTGACGTAGAATCCACTATATTTTTCTCTTTTTATAGACTGCACTTTGCTATGTGTAAGCAATTGCAGCTGCAGTTACTGAAGTTCAATGCAATTTATGAAACAAAATAAAAACTAACCCAATCTTGGAACTAAAGAAAATTATTCAAATAATTTGTAGAGACGATCACAAATAATTCCTTAAATTTTTTTACCAAATTTCTATGATCTGAACCTAATTTTTATTTTCTTCCTGCATGTACTCGCGTTTTACATTTTCATTATTGTATTTTGCTTTTTTGTTTTTCTTTTTTGCTACAAAATATTTATGCTTACAAGGAGATCCCAGCCCCGGCTTAAGGAAATATATAAATAAGAATATGTGATATGTAAAAAAAAAAATTGTAAAACATCTATGTTAATGAAATAAATTTATTATTATTATATGACATCAGATGAAATCTACAGGTTTTGCACTTGTCTACTTTTTATTTGTATACTGCGTTGTTGAGCCTACTTCTGTTTATATTTACAAGTATACCTGATCTTTCCAGATTAGGTATTTTAATATTACATAGGTATACAATTATCAGAAGAACAATTTATTGACAGCTATCACTGACAATCATGATAATTAAGATCTTTAATTAATCAACCTAAAAATATATAGAAATTGTCATAAATGCCACTATCATACTATCTACTTCTTTAAAAATATATCGAACCAAATGTTAGACTTTTATTGCCTTACATACAAGAGAGATGAAGGTCAAAATTTAACGAACAGGCAAGCAGAGGCCAATAACCTCGTTGATGTCAGACATTACAAAAAAAATGCAAGTATGTACTTGTATTTATAGTCTGCTTTATGGTTTACTGTACTTAATTAGAACAGTTTAACAAAATAATGGCTCTAAATAACTAAGTAGTGATGATACTACCAAAGTTAAGTTTAACACCTTTAATAATTATTTTCTTATCATATTCTAGTCTAAAGCATATACTTACGAAACGTCCCTTAGAAACAAGTATGTACATTGAAATCATCTTACGCTTATCATAAATAGGTATCTACAGACTTGCTCTCTAGAAGTAATAAATACTATCTACTTCAGCACTTTACCTACAT